ACTACTGATTAATCTAATAATTTAACTTTCTAATTCAATTTGCAAGTTATTACAATTGTTATTACTCATTTAATCTAATAATTTAACTGACTTTTAATTCAATTTGCAAGTTATTAAAATTTTTACTCATTAATCTAGTAATTTAACTACTACCAATTCGATTTACAAGTTACTAAAATTGTACTACTCATTAAACCTAATCATTTAACTACTTCAATTTGCAAGTGATTAAAATGGTACTAATAATTTAACTAACTTCAAATTCAATTTGCAAGTTATTAAAATTGTACTCATCAAACCTAATAATTTAACTATTAATTTGATTTGCAAGTTACTAAAATTGTACTACTCCTTAAACTTAAACGACTGAACTACTAATTCAACTTGCAAGTTATTAAAATTGTACTACTTGTTACTCAGCATTAATATTTTACAGCTATTAGCCACCCCAATTTTACTATTCATTTACTCCTAATAATTTAACTCCAAATCAGTATTCCCATTTTGATATTAATAATACATTCCGCTATTTCAAATAATCGCTATATTCAACTCGGAGAGACAGATCTGTGAATTTACTTTAGGTCCTTTTTTTATTTTATATTTTTTAAAGGCCCTTTTTGAAAAAGGTCCCGTTAATTTTGTGTGTGTGTTTTTTTTCCTTTGCTATTTTTTTCTTTTAAAAAAATATTTTGGGGGGGGGGGTTGTTTTGTGTTTTAACTTTTTATTTTTTTTATTTTTGGGAAGAAAAATGCAAAAGGGAGCTTTACAGACCAAGAAGAGAAAGAAAACACGCAGAGAGAGAAGAGTAGATGATGCCCCTGTTCGTTTTATTAATATAAAGAACTGGGAGATATATATATATATATATATGTTTTCTGAGGTTTTTGCGGGTGTTTGTATGTAGGTCTTTGGTTATTCGGATTTTCTCCCGCGTAAAATTGGAACTGTCTAGGCGACTTTTCGACGAAGTCCCATTCGTCATCTTCAGGCTGGTGTTTTTGGCTTCGTGCTTCTAGGAGCAATGTGTGATCGTAGCTGTTTCTTCCTTTTAACTGCCAATGGGGGTATGAACAACAACACAGCTCACCATCTCAATTCCCCCTGCAACTCAGACTAGCCCAAGCCCAACAAAGCCCCCACCCAAACAGAACACTCCTCCAGCCAATCAGAGCACAGCCAAGCCCCTAACCAATGAGAACACACCTCCACCCAATCAAAACACAGCCAAGCTCCCACCCAATCAGTTCATACCCCCACTGGCAGTTAAAAGGAAGAAACAGCTACGATCACACATTGCTCCTGGAAGCACGAAGCCGAAAACACCAGCCTGAAGATGATGGGACTTCGTTGAAATGTTGCCAAGACACTTCCAATTTTATGCGGGAGAAAACCCGAATAACCAAAGACCTACACACACACACACACACACAGTCCTAAATTGTCTGTGAATTTAATATTGCTCGGCAAAAAACACTGAATTTTTGCAGGTTTTTGCCAAGAAGGAAATTGCTAGCGATTGTACAATATAGCAGCCCAAGTTGGAGGAACGAGCTAAGGAGAGAAAGAGAGAGACACAACACACAAAGAAACATTCTGCTTCTAAGGAATGGCGATAAATTAAAAGAGGAAAAAAAAAATGCAAAATATCAGGGTAGGAAGCTTCCCCATCAATTATGCGCTGGTCCAAAGAGTTTTTTTGCGCTGTGAATCCACCAATTTTTTGCTCGCTTCTTCTGACTATATTTGTAAATTTGGCAGTTCACCGTGCGACGGGTGTTAAGACTTAAGTGTGTAAAGTGGCTTCCGCCCCCTTTTGATCGTAAATAATAATAATAAAAAAGCGGTACGAGCAAGGTGAAAAAAAAAAAACAAACGAGCTAACATCGTGACTTCCCAATTCTTCCGTTCCAAAGCCCATGGGTGCAGCTGCCTATTTTTCCTATCAATCTGATTTTATTTTTATTTATTTTTTTTCACCCCTTCCGGGTAGGAGAGAAGCTAAGGAGGAGAAAAGGGGAAGGATTAAAAATGGAAGAGGACGAGAGCGAAATGCCACGAAAGGCTGAATCTTGAAAGCGGCCGAAAATGCCTTCCGTTGTAGGATGACGAGGCGAGACACACGTCGTTGCGCTCTTCGATTCCTTTCGTTTAATGACATTTGATGCTTGTTTTTCTTTTTTATAGAGACATGATAAATGCACTGCAATAAGGAGAGAGGGGGGAGCGGGAGAGACAGAAAGGAGAGAGACAGTGAGAGAGAGAGAGAGGGAGACAGAGAGAGAGAGGAGAGAGAGAATGGAGAGAGAAAGGAGAGCGAGAGAAAGGAGAGGGAGAGAGGAGAGAGGGAAAGGAGAGGGAGAGAGAATGGAGAAGAGAGAAAAGAGTCAGAGAGAAAGGAGAGCGAGAGAAAGGAGCAAGAGAAAGGAGAGGGAGAGAGAGGAGAGAGGGAAAAGAGAGGGAGAGAGAGAATGGAGAGAAAAGGGAGACAGTGAGTGAAAGGAGAGAGGAGAAAAGAGAGGGAGACAGAGAGAGCAAGAGCCAGGAGCGAGAGAAAGGAGAGGGAGAGAGATAGAGAGAGAGAGACGGGAGCAAGAGAAAGGGGAGGGACAGAGGAGACAGACAGAGAGAGAGAGTGAGAGAAAGGAGAGAAAGGAGAGGGAGACAGAGAGAGAAGAGAATGGAGAGAAAAGAGACAGAAAGAGAAAGGAGAGCGAGAGACGGGAGCGAGAGAAAGGAGAGAGGAAAGAGAAAGGAGAGGGAGACAGAGAGAGAAGAGGGAGAGAAAGGAGAGCAAGAGACAGGAGCAAGAGAAAGGAGAGAGATAGAGAGAAGAGGGAGAGAAAGGAGAGTGAGAGAAAGGAGAGCGAGAGACAGGAATGAGAGAAAGGAGAGGGAGACAGAGAGCGAGAAAGGAGAGAGATAGAGAGAGGAGAGGGAATGAAGAGAAAGGAGAGAAAAGAGAGACGGTGAGAGGAAGGAGAGGGATAGAGAGAGGAAAGGAGAGGGAAAGGAGAGAGAGAGTGCGAAAGGAGAGAAAGAGATATATAACATATATATATATGTATATGTATATATATTACACACACAGGATATATCTTTCTATGTATAATATTAAAATAAGTTATAGGCCTCCCCGGCTTCTCGCTCTCTTCCAATCGCGTCCTTTCCAAAGCGACACACACTTGTGGCTCCGTCACCGAGGCTGACAAAACCATCGGGAAGAGGTGTGTGAAAAACGAGAAGCAGGGACAAAAAAAAGAATTTGGCTCAGTTCTGGGTTCACATTTTTCAAACCGAGAGGATCCAAAGTCCTCCCCCCCCCCAAGCCGGTGGCCCTGGAGAAGGTGTAAGATGTAGCTCGGCCTCGCTTGAAGGCCACCAATGGGAGATGGTCTCCTCTCGGGAGAGAAGGTCATGGAGAGGCAACATCGGAGGGGAGGGAGGTTGCGATTCGCATAGGGTTGGCCGACCACGAGCGGACATCACACTGGAGCGGACATGCAGGCGTCAACGGTGTGTTGTGTGTAAGGACGAAAGAACGACAATGTTAGGTCCAGCTTGTCTAGAAGGGGAGATCTACTCGGTTTGCGGGCTGGAAGATCTTGGTCGTGACCTCAACTGGAGATCCCCAGGCCATCTAGATGAGGTTCAATCTTCCAGAAGCCCTCTGGATTGTGGACCTTTGGGTGTGTGTGTGTGCTCTACATCAAACCCAACCTTGTGGTTCTTCAAGCTAGAGATTCCCCCTTTTGCAACCAAGTTCTCCTTTTCAAAGTGGTCTTGTGTGACGTCTCTGGAGGAGACTTCCCATTGTCCTTGGAGATAATGCCAAGAAGAAAAGAGACTTTCTTGGAGATGGGAAGTCAAGAAGAAGAAGGAACTCATCAACTCTGGAGATAATTCAAGAAGAACAGGAGACTTATCATCATCCCTGGAGATAAGAACAACAAGGGACTTCCCATCATCCTTGGAGATAATTCAAGAAAAAGAGAAGACTCTTCATGGTCCTTGAAGATAACTCAAGAAGAACAGGAGACTTCCCATCATCCATGGAGATAAAGTCAAGAAGAAGTGACTTCCCATCGTCCTTGAAGATAATTCAAGAAAAAGAATAGACTCATCATGGTCCTTGAAGATAACTCAAGAAGAACAGGAAACACCTCATCGTCCTTGGAGATAACTCAAGAAGAACAGGAGACTTCCCATCATCCATGGAGATAAAGTCAAGAAGAAGAGACTTCCCATCGTCCTTGAAGATAACTGAAGAAAAAGAGAAGACTCATCATGGTCCTTGAAGATAACTCAAGAAGAACAGGAGAGATAACTTCCCATCATCCTTGCAGATAATGTCAAGAAGAAGTGACTTCCCATCGTCCTTGAAGATAATTCAAGAAAAAGAATAGACTCATCATGGTCCTTGAAGATAACTCAAGAAGAACAGGAAACACCTCATCGTCCTTGGAGATAACTCAAGAAGAACAGGAGACTTCCCAGCATCCTTGGAGATAATGTCAAGAAGAACAGGAGACTCCTCATCATCCTTGGAGAGAACTCAAGAAGGAGACTTCCCATCGTCCTTGGAGACAACACAAGGAGGTTTCTGATGGACCAGGGGTTCCTGATGGGCTGAAGGCCAAGTCATGCTGTAGAAGTCTCCAACAAAGGGAGGAAGGTTGGACCCCAACCCAATCCTTCCTTCCTTCCAGAGGTGTCTTTCATCCAAGGGGTTGACCTGGTCTACAAGGCTCCTTTCCAACGGTTGAAGAGGAATCCAATCCAATTTGAGACCTTGGCTGAAGGCCAACGGAGGTTCTCCTCAAGGTTCTTCCACAAGGTTCCTTCGAGAAACGTGTACCAGGCCACAAAACGGGACAATGAGTGCTACTTCCGATCTTTCTCATCTCGGATAGGACCGTCCCGCCAGGAGGTGGACCTCAAGGCATCTCCAGAGGGTTCAACCACAGAGACGGGAAATGTTCCTTCCTTTTTCCCCATCGTTCCCCCCCACCCACCCACCTGCAACGGCCGGCCGGTCACGCCGTCAGCTTCCGTTTGGACGGCGGGATCAGATGAGCCGGCAGCTCGCCGGGAAGCTCGTGACCTTCCAACTTGACCTTGATGAGGTGGTTGGCCAAGGCAAACTCTTCGTCGTCCAGCATGCCGTCCTTGTCGATGTCGGACAGCTTCCAGATCTTTCCCAGCACGGTGTTGGGAAGCTTGGACCTCACCATCTCCTTCTTGGCGTTGGCCCCGGTGAGCTTCCCGTCCACGGGGGACAAGGTGTAGAAGATCTCGTCGTACATGGGCTTGTCCCGGGCCACCACCCAGTCGGCGTCGTCAATGCCCTCGCCGGCGCCCTCGCCGTAGCCGTGTCCGAAGGGGCCGTGGAGCGTCCCTTCAAAGGCGCCGCCTTTGACCATCTGGGCGGGCCGCTGGGCCTCCTCCTGGCGGACCAGGACCATCAGCTGGGCAATGTCGTTGGCCAACATGTCCTCCACGGCGTCCAACAGCTTGGTCTTCAGAGGTTGGAACTTGCTGAAGTCCTGACCCTGGAGCTGCTCCTGGAAGGGACGGGACAGACGGGAGACGAGGTGAGACCGGGGTGGAGGGGGCGGGGGACACCCCCACCCCCCAAAAAACACACACACAACACACATACAACTTATGGGGTCTCCTGCTGGAGGACGGGGGTTGGGCTAGAACAGTGGTTCTCAACCTGTGGGTCGCAACCCCATTTGGGGTCAAACGACCCTTTCACGGGGGTCGCCAAACAACGCAGTCTGCCATTTTTTCCCCCCTTTTCCTTAGCTGTGCTACTCCCTTTTATTCTATTGGCTTTCGAAAGCCAATAGAATAGACTCTCTTGAATAGAGTCTAATTCTATTGGCTTTCAAAAGCCAATAGGAATGGTCCAGGCTGTCTCTGCCCTGCTGAGCCCGCCAAAAGTCCCAGTCTGCAAACGGGGCTGCACCAGTTGAGTAGTCTTCGACTTACGACCGGTGGAGTAGTCCTCGACTTACGACCGGTGAATAGTCCTCGACTTACAACCGGTTGGGGGGTCGCGGCATTAAAAAGGTTGAGAACCACTGGGCTAGAAGACCCTCCCAGGTCCCTTCCGTCATTCCGTTATTCAGAGAAGGAAAAGTTAGGAGAGGGGAGGAGGAGGAAGGTCTAGGACACGGGTCGGCAACCTGCGGCTCTTTCAGCCTTCTCCTGCGGCTCCCAGCCTCCTCTGCCATTTGCAGAGAGAGACAAACAGAGAGAGGCACTTGCGCTTCCCTTCTCTCCCCCTCCCCCGGGTGTGTGTGTGTGTGTGTGTGTGTGTGTGTGTGTGTGTGTGTGAAAAAAGAGAGTGGCCTCACCCAGCTGTACCCACGAGCTGACAAGCTTATTAGGCGGGGCTCCTCCCTTTGCTGCATCTCTGCAGGAAGCAGGAAGCAGGAAGGGCAGGAGAGAGCTAGCTAGCCCAGCTAGGCTGACTCAGGAATTCTGGGAGTTGAAGTCCATGAGTCATAAAAGAGCCCAGGTGGCCTGAGAAGGAGACAGAAACAAAGAGAGAAAGAGAAAGAGAGAGGGGGGAGAGGAAAGAGAGGGAGAGGAAAGAGAAAGAGAGAGAGAGAGAGAGAGAGAGAGAGAGGAAGGAGAGAAAGGGAGAGAGAGAAAGAGAGATAGAGAAAGAGGGAGACAGAAACAAAGAGAAAAAAAGAGAAAAAGAGGGGGAGAGGAAAGAGGAAAGAGGAGAAGGAGAGAGAAAGGGAGAGAGATAAAGAGAAAGAGAGAGGGCGAGAGAGAGAGGGAGGAAAAGAGGAAGAGAGGGGGAGAGAAAGAAAGAGAAAGGGGGGAGAGAGAGAAAGAGAGAGGGAGAGGAAACAGAGAGAGGGAGAGGAAAGAAAGGGAGAGAGAGAAAGAGAAAGAGAGAGAGGGAGACAGAAACAGAGAAAGAGAAAGAGAGCAGGAGGGGAGAGGAAAGAGAGGAAGAGGAAAGAGAGAGAGGAAAGAGAAAAAGAGAGGAAACAGAGAGGAGAGAGAGAAAGGGAGAGAGAAAAAGAGAGGGAGAGAGAGGGAGACAGAAACAAAGAGAGAAAGAGAGAAAGAGAGAGGGGGGAGAGGAAAGAGGAAAAGGAGAGAGAGAGAGGGTAAAGAGAAAGGGAGAGAGAGAGAAAGAAAGAGGGGGAGAGAGAGGGAGGAAAAGAGAAGAAGAGGGGGAGAGAAAGAAAGAGAAAGGGGGAGAGGAAAGAGAGAAAGGGGGAGAGGAAAGAAAGAGAAAGGAAAGAGAGAGGGAAAGAGAGGAAACAGAGAGAGGGAAAGAGAGAAAGGGAGAGAGAGAGGGAGAGGAAAGAGGAAAAAGAGAGAGAGAGGAAAGAGAGAGAGGGAAAGAGAGGAAAGAGAAAGAGGGGGAGGAAAGAGGAAAAGGAGAGAGGGTAAAGAGAAAGGGAGAGAGAGAAAGAGAAAGAAAGAGAGGGGGAGAGAGAGGGAGGAAAAGAGAGGAAGAGGGGGAGAGAAAGAAAGAGAAAGGGGGAGAGGAAAGAGAGAAAGAGAGGGGGAGAGGAAAGAAAGAGAGAAAGAGGAAAGAGAGAGAGGGAGAGGAGAGAGAAAGGGAGAGGAAAGAGGAAAAAGAGAGAGAGGAAAGAGAGAGAGAAAGGGAGAGGAAAGAGAGAGAGAGGGAAAGAGAGAGGGAGGAAAGAGAAAAAGAGAGAGAGAGAGGGAGAGGAAAGAAAGGGAGAGAAAGACAGAGAAAGAGAGGAAAAGAGAGGGAGAGCGAGAGGAAAGAGAGAGAGAGAAAGAGAAAAAGAAAGAGAGGGAGGGTGGGAGAGACAGAGAGAAACCCTTCGGATATCTAAAATGAAGATAACGCTGCATATATCCTTTTTTTTAACCTTTATATTTCGTTCCCTCCCTCCACAACTTTTACCTGCATTTTCTTTAAATTGGGGAAATCGCCGGGCGAAATTTGATGCTCTCGCTCGATCCGGCTGTAAATCTCGCCCAGATTGTTCACCAATTCTTTCTTTTTGTTCTCTTTCCCAAAGACGGAGGGCATTTCTTTCTTCAGGGAGCTGATGATGTAGGCTTGAACCTACGTCGATTTAACAGAATCAAATAAAAATCCAGACAGCGATATAATAAAATAAAATCAAGTCACATAAAGCACAATCAAGAACATCGTCAAAGAAAGTAAAATAATGCACTACCATCAAAGCAAAGATGAAATAGAAAATAAAATAGCAAAGTCATCTAATAAAATAGAACAATTAACCCGTGGAACTCCTTGCCTCGGGAAGCGGTGACTGATCCAACGCTGGAGGTTTTAAAGAGGAGACTGGACAGCCCTTTGTCTGAAATGGTTTAGGGTTTCCTGCCTGAGCAGGGGGTTGGACTAGATGACCTCCAAGGTCCCTTCCAACTTTATCATCATCATCATCATTATGAAGAGACTGGACAGCCATTTGTCCGAAATGGTACAGGGTTTCCTGCTTGAGCAGGGGGTTGGACTAGATGACCTCCAAGGTCCCTTCCAAATTTACTATTATTATTATTAAAATAAAATAATATAAAGTAAAAGAAAGAAAAGTAAAATAAAAGGATAAAGATAAAATATAATAAAACAAAATAATAAAACAAAATAATATAAAGTAAAAGAAAAGAAAGTAAAATAAAATGATAAAATAAGGTAAAACAAAATAATAAAAGAAAGGAAAATAATAAATTAATATAAAGCAAAATGAAGTAAAATAAAATGAAGTAAAAGAAAATAACAAAATAAGGTAAAATAAAATAATAAAAAGGAAAATAATAAAAAATAAAATGATAAAATAAAAAATGAAATAAATCAAAAGAAAACATGAAATAAAAAATAAAATAAAATATATTAATATAATAAAATAAAAAATGAAATATAAAATAAAATAACGAAGTCATCTAATAAAAGTAAAATAAAATAATAAATATAAAATAAAAAAATAATAAAATAAAACAATATAAAGTAAAATAAAATAACAAAATAAGGTAAAAGAAAAGAAAGTACAATAATATGATAAAATAACAAAATCAGATCAAAAAATAAAATAACAAAATAAGGTAACATAAAATAAAGTAAAATAAAATAATATATTAATATAACAAAATAAAAAAATGAAATATAAAAGAAAATAACAAAGTTATCTAATAAAAGTAAAATAAAATAATAAAATAAAATAATATAAAGTAAAATAAAATAACAAAATAAGTTAAAGGAAAGAAAGTATAATAATATGATGAAATAACAAAATAAAATAAATCAAAAAAATGAAATAACAAAAAAAGGTAACATAAAATAAAGTAAAATAAAATATTAATATAACAAAATAAAAAATGAAATATAAAAGAAAATAACAAAGTCATCTAATAAAAGTAAAATAATATAATATAAAGTAAAACAAAAGAATAAAATAAAAATAATAAATTCATATAAAGTAAAATGAAGCAGGGGGTTGGACTAGATGACCTCCAAGGTCCCTTCCAACTTTTCTCTTATTATTATTATTAAAATAAAATAAAGCAAAATAATATAAGGTAAAATGAAATAATAAAATAAAGTAAAATAATAAAATAAAACGATAAAAAAATAAAGTAAAAATAAAATAAAATAAAACATAAAATAAAACGATAAAATAAAATAAAATAAAAATTCATATCCTCAGGACCTAACTAAGGAACATCATCAGTGCGAGGAGGAGGAAGGACTGTGGGGTCCTTGGTGCTCTCTGAGCTGGGTGGTTTCCTTGCAGACGTTTCGTGACCCAATTAGGGAATGACATCAGTGCTAGAAGGGAGGAGGAGGAGGAGAAGGAAGGAAGGAAGGAAGGAAGGAAGGAAGGAAGGAAGGAAGGAAGGAAGGAAGGAAGGAAGGAAGGAAGGAAGGAAAGTGGAGTCCTTGGTGCTCTCTGATCTGGGTGGTTTCCTTGCAGACGTTTCACGACCCAACTAGGGAACGTCATCAGTGCTAGAAGGAAGGAGGAGTAGGAGTAGGAGTAGGAGGAGGAGGAGGAGGAGGAGGAGGAAGGAAGGAAGGAAGGAAGGAAGGGAGGGAGGAAGGACTGTGTGGGGTCCTTGGTGCTCTCTGATCTGGGTGGTTTCCTTGCAGACGTTTCACGACCCAACTAGGGAACGTCATCAGTGCTAGAAGGAAGGAGGAGTAGGAGGAGTAGGAGGAGGAGGAAGGAAGGAAGGAAGGGAGGGAGGGAGGAAGGACTGTGTGGGGTCCTTGGTGCTCTCTGATCTGGGTGGTTTCCTTGCAGACGTTTTGTGACCCAACTAGGGAACACTCTCAGTCCTCCAGGGAGTACAGTTGCCTTTCTTTTTACATACCTATATATATATATATATATATATATATATATATATATATATATATATATATATTATTTTGGATATTATATATGTATATGTATATGTATGTAAATACATATACATATATATACCTATATATATATATATATATCGGTACATACCTATATATATATAATATCAATATGTATGGACTTCGTCGAAACATTGCCAAGACACTTCCAATTTTACGTGGGAGAAAACCCGAACAACCAAAGACCTACATATGTATATGTATATATATATATATATTTTAAAAAAATAAACCCTAGAACAATCCCGACATATCCCAACTCACCTTGGCCAGCCGGGCCCGTTTGATGAGGTCGTTGAGCTTCCGGAGGGCGGCGTTCCGGGGCAAGCTCTGGATGTCCCGGAAGAGGTCCTGCTCCTCGGCTTCGAAGAGCTTCCGGTTATCCGGGATGAGCAGCGGGTGGGACCAGAAGGAGCCGATGTAGACCCGGATGACCTCGGGGGTGTTGACGATCTTGCCCAGCGACCACATCAGGGCCCCGTAGACCCTCATCAGCTGCTGGGTCTCGATCTGGTCGGCCTTGTTGAGGACTACCCTCATCTTGTCCTCGTGGTTCTTCAGGGCTTTGATGACCTCGGAAAACTCGTCGGAGATGTCCAGCTTGTGGGCGTCGAAGAGCAGGATGATCCGGTCCACCCGCTCGGCGAACCACTCCAGGACGGCCGCAAAGTCGTAGCCTGTTTGGGGAAGGAAGGAGAGTTTTCGAACTCGGGGTCGAAAGCCGCCTGGAGTTTGGGAGTTCTAGTTCTGCTTTAGGTATGAAAGACGGTTGCGTGACTTTGGGCCAATCACCAGGAGACGGTGAGTTCTAGTCCCGCCCTAAACATGAAAGGTGGCTGGGGGACTTTGGGCCAATCACCAGATGACGCTGAGTTCCAGTTCTGCCTGAGGCACGAAAGCCGGCTGGGTGACTTTGGGCCAATCACCAGGAGATGATGAGTTCTAGTCCCGCCCTAGAGATGAAAGTTGCCTGGGGGACTTTGGGCCAATCACCAGGTGACGCTGAGTTCTAGTTCTGCCTAAGGCATGAAAGCCGGCTGGGTGACTTTGGGCCAATCACCAGGAGATGGTGAGTTCTAGTCCCACCTTTGGCATGAAAGCCAGTTGGGTGACTTTGGGCCAATCACCAGGAGACGGTGAGTTCTAGTCCCGCCTTTGGCATGAAAGCCGGCTGGGTGACTTTGGGCCAATCACCAAGAGATGATGACTTCTAGTCCCGCCCTAAACATGAAAGTTGGCTGGGTGACTTTGGGCCAATCACCAGGAGACGGTGAGTTCTAGTCCCGCCTTTGGCACGAAAGCCGGTTGGGTGACTTTGGGCCAATCACCAGGAGACGGTGAGTTCTAGTCCCGCCTTTGGCACGAAAGCCAGTTGGGTGACTTTGGGCCAATCACCAAGAGATGATGACTTCTAGTCCCGCCCTAGACATGAAAGTTGGCTGGGGGACTTTGGGCCAATCACCAGGTAACAGTGAGTTCCAGTCCCGCCTTTGGCATGAAAGCCGATTGGGTGACTTTCAACCAATCACCAGGAGACGGTGAGTTCTAGTCCCGCCTCAGGCATGAAAGCCAGCTGGGTGACATTGGGCCAATCACCAGGAGAGGGTGAGTTCTAGTCCCACCTTTGGCATGAAAGCCAACTGGGTGACTTTGGGCCAATCACCAGGAGACGGTGAGTTCTAGTCCCGCCTGAGGCATGAAAGCCGACTGGGTGACTTTGGGCCAATCACCAGGAGACGGGGAGTTCTAGTCCCGCCTTAGGCATGAAAGCCAGCTGGGTGACATTGGGCCAATCACCAGGAGAGGGTGAGTTCTAGTCCCGCCTTAGGCATGAAAGCCATCTAGGTGACTTTGGGCCAATCACCAGGAGAGGGTGAGTTCTAGTCCCGCCTTAGGCATGAAAGCCGACTGGGTGACTTTGGGCCAATCACCAGGAGAGGGTGAGTTCTAGTCCCGCCTTAGGCATGAAAGCCAACTGGGTGACTTTGGGCCAATCACCAGGAGAGGGTGAGTTCTAGTCCCGCCTTTGGCATGAAAGCCGACTGGGTGAGTTTGGGCCAATCACCAGGAGACGGGGAGTTCTAGTCCCGCCTTTGGCATGAAAGCCGACTGGGTGACTTTGGGCCAATCACCAGGAGATGGTGAGTTCTAGTCCCGCCTTTGGCATGAAAGCCGACTGGGTGACTTTGGGCCAATCACCAGGAGATGGTGAGTTCTAGTCCCGCCTCTGGCAAGAAAGCCGGCTGGGTGACTTTGGGCGAATCACCAGGAGACGGTGAGTTCTAGTCCCGCCTTTGGCATGAAAGCCGGCTGGGTGACTTTGGGCCAATCACCAGGAGACGGTGAGTTCTAGTCCCACCTGAGGCATGAAAGCCAACTGGGTGACTTTGGGCCAATCACCAGGAGATGGTGAGTTCTAGTCCCGCCTTAGGCATGAAAGCCATCTGGGTGACTTTGGGCCAATCACCAGGAGAGGGTGAGTTCTAGTCCCGCCTTTGGCATGAAAACCGACTGGGTGACTTTGGTCCAATCACCAGGAGACGGTGAGTTCTAGTCCCGCCTTTGGCATGAAAGCCAGTTGGGTGACTTTGGGCCAATCACCAGGAAACGGTGAGTTCTAGTCCCGCCTTTGGCATGAAAGCCGGTTGGGTGACTTTGGGCCAATCACCAGGAGACGGTGAGTTCTAGTCCCGCCTCTGGCATGAAAGCCGGTTGGGTGACTTTGGGCCAATCACCAGGAGACGGGGAGTTCTAGTCCCGCCTCTGGCATGAAAGCCAGCTGGGTGACTTTGGGCCAATCACCAGGAGACGGTGAGTTCTAGTCCTGCCGTTGGCACGAAAGCCGACTGGGTGACTTTGGGGAACAGAAATCGGGAGCTCAATTGCGTAAACCGAGGACTCCCGGAATTTGAAATCAAGCAACAAGAAAGTAGACCTGATTGGGGAGTCTGAAAAAAAATAAATAAATTGAGGAACAATAACAATTTTTATTCTGCGCCACACCTGCTCAAAAGCCAAACCACAATTTTGCAAGTCGAGCTGTCTCACTCACTTCCTCTTGCAGCCGCTAATACGGAATCAAAGAAGAAGAAGAGTGGGAAAGGACCTTAGAGGTCATCCAGTCCAACCCCCTGCTCAAGCAGGAGACTGTTACAGAATCATGGAATGACAAGAGGTGGAAAGGACATCAGAGGTCATCCAGTCCAACCCCTTCAAGCAGGAAACCCTTACAGAATCATGGAACGATACAATTGAAAGGTATCATGGAGGTCATCTAGTCCAACCCCCTGCTCAAGCAGCAGACCTTTACAGAATCACAGAATAACAAGAGTTGGAAGGGACCCTCGTGGTCATCCAGTCCAACCCCCTGCTCAAGCAGCAGACCCTTACAGAATCATAGAATAACAAGAGTTGGAAGGGACCCTGGAGGTCATCCAGTCCAACCCCCTGCTCAAGCAGCAGACCCTTACAGAATCATAGAATAACAAGAATTGGAAGGGACTCTGGAGGTCATCCAGTCCCACCCCTTGCTCAAGCAGGAGACTCTTACAGAATCACAGAATAACAAGAGTTGGAAGGGACCCTGAAGGTCATCCAGTCCAACCCCCTGCTCAAGCAGCAGACCCTTACAGAATCATAGAATAACAAGAGTTGGAAGGGACCCTGGAGGTCATCCAGTCCAACCCCCTGCTCAAGCAGCAGACCCTTACAGAATCATAGAATAACAAGAATTGGAAGGGACTCTGGAGGTCATCCAGTCCCACCCCTTGCTCAAGCAGGAGACTCTTACAGAATCACAGAATAACAAGAGTTGGAAGGGACCCTGAAGGTCATCCAGTCCAACCCCCTGCTCAAGCAGCAGACCCTTACAGAATCATAGAATAACAAGAGTTGGAAGGGACCCTGGAGGTCATCCAGTCCAACCCCCTGCTCAAGCAGCAGACCCTTACAGAATCATAGAATAACAAGAATTGGAAGGGACTCTGGAGGTCATCCAGTCCCACCCCTTGCTCAAGCAGGAGACCCTTACAGAATCACAGAATAACAAGAGTTGGAAGGGACCCTGAAGGTCATCCAGTCCAACCCCCTGCTCAAGCAGGAGACCTTTACAGAATCATAGAAGAAGAAGAGTTGGAAGGGACCCTGGAGGTCATCCAGTCCAACCCCCTGCTCAAGCAGGAGAAAGGAGACCATGTAACAAGAGGTGGAAGGGACGTCAGAGGTCATCTAGTCCAACCCCTTCAAGCAGGAAACCCTTACAGAATCGTGGAACGATACAATTGAAAGGGATCCTGGAGGTCATCTAGTCCCACCCCCTGCTCAAGCAAGGGACCTTTACAGAATCACAGAATGACAAGAGTCGGAAGGGACGTCAGAGGTCATCTAGTCCAACCCCCCCTCCACAAACAGGAGACCCTTACAGAAGGACAGAGGCGGAGGGGACCTTAAGAGGTCTTCTAGTCCAACCCCTCGGCTCAGCAGGAGACTATTACAGAATCACAGAATAACAAGAGTTGGAAGGGATCCTGGAGGTCATCTAGTCCAACCCCCTGCTCAAGCAACAGACCTTTACAGAATCATAGAATGACAAGAGTTGGAAGGGATGTCAGAGATCATCTAGTCCAACCCCCCCCCCCCATTCAAGCTGGACCGCCTATAGTACCGTTTCAGAACAACTGCTCGTTGTATCCTCTTCTTCAAAATCTCCCAGTGTTGGAACCCCCTCACAATGCCTGGAGCCAAAATTCAGGACTGCCCGATTTAAAACTCTGGCTATGCTCAGGATAATCTCTTTCTAAATCAGCGGTTCTCCACCTGTGGGTCGGGACCCCATTTGGGGTCGAACGACCATTTCACGGGGGTCGCCAAACAACGCAGTCCGCCATTTTTTCCCCCTTTTCCTTAGCTGTGCTCCTCCCTTTTATTCTATTGGCTTTTGAAAGCCAATAGGAAATTGTACAGGCCAGGCTGTCTCTGCCCTGCTGAGCCCGCCAAAAGTCCCATTCTGCAAACGGTGCTGCACCAGTTGAGTAGTCCTCGACTTACGACTGGTTGAGTAGTCCTCGACTTACGACCGGTTGGGGGTCGCGGCATTAAAAAGGTTGAGAACCACTGTTCTAAAAGAAGGACCAGCTGTGAACGAGCTGAGTTAACTATCTTCGTCCAATGTCGCTCAAAAATGATCGGTTTACCTCGGCTAATCCGCTGTTTTTCTCCGGAGAGGATTCCCGGCGTGTCAATCACACTTATGCTTTCCAGGACAGGGTTGGGCAGTTGGGCACACACAAATCTGAGGGTGGGTGGGGGGGAAAAGGGAGGGGGGGAGAAAAATAAATTAAGTTTTGTCCCGTTTTACGGCCTTGTCTGCCCCCGTCACTAAGTCAATCCCTACAGTTGTTCGAGTTAAGTCAGGACGTCTGGGAGTGGAAGACCAGCCATCTTGAAGAAATGTGTCCGACTCTTTGCAAGTCGAAGGAAGTGGACTTCAACTCCCAGAATTCAACTCCACGGGAGCTGGCTGGGGGGGAATTCTGGGAGTTGAAGTCCACCTGTTTTAAAATGGCGGAGCTCGAGAAAGGTTTCCTAATCTTGGCAATTCGGAGACGGGTGGACTTCGACGCCCAGAATTCAACTCCACGCTGGTTGGGGGAATTCTGGGAGTTGAAGTCCACCCATCTCCCTACGGTGGTCGTTAAGCGAATCTGTTTCCGGAACTGGTGGTAAACGCTGGAAATTGTTAAAAAGAAGAAGAAGAAGAAGGAGAAGGAGGAGGAGGAGGAGGAGGAGGAGAAGGAGAAGGAGAAGAAGAAGAAGAAGAAGAAGAAGAAGAAGAAGAAGAAGAAGAAGAAGAAGAAGAAGAAGAAGAAGAAGAAAAAAGGCAAACATGGCAATAGTGTGACTGTGGGATTCTACAAATGGCCTAAATGTGCAGAACAGAATTGTGAGCATGTGTGTGTGATGGGGAGAGGGAGTGTGTGTGTGCATGCTCGTGTGTGTGTGTGTGTGTGTGTGTGTGTGTGTGTGTGAGAGAGAGAGAGAGAGATGGAAACAGAAAGAATGAGAAAGATGGAGAGAAGAGAGGGAGTGATGGGAAAAGATGAACAAAGAGAGAATGAGACAGAAAGGGAGAGAGAGAGAGAGAGAAAGAGGGAGAGATAAAAAGAGAGAAAGATGGAGAGAGAATGAGAAAGAGATGGAGAAAGAGAAAGGAAAGGAGAAAAAGATGCGGAGAAACAGAATGAGGTAGAGAGAGAGAGGGAATGAGACTGTAATGGAGACAGAATGAAAAAGAGGGAGAAAGACGGAGAGAGAGTGAGGGAGAGAAAAAGAGATGGAGAGAGAGGGAATGAGAAAGAAATGGAGAGAGAGAAAAAAGAGAGAAAGATGGAGAGAGTGAGAAAGAGAGAAAAGATGGGAAGAATGAGAAAGAGAGAAAGAGATGGAAACAGAGAAGAAGAAAGACGGAGAGAAGGAGATGGAGAGAGAGAGAGAGGGAATGAGAATGTAACGGAGACAGAATGAGAAAGAGGGAGAGAAATGGAGGGAGAGAAAAAGAGATGGGGAGAGAGGGAATGAGAAAGAAATGGAGACAGAGAGAAAAAGAGAAAGATGGAGAAAGGGAGTGAGAAAGAGATGGAGAAAGAGAGAAAAGATGGGGAGAATGAGAGAGAGAGAAAGAGATGGAAACAGAAGAAAGACGGAGAGAAAGAGATGGAGAGAGAGAGAGAGAGGGAATGAGAATGTAATGGAGACAGAATGAGAAAGAGGGAGAGAAATGGAGGGAGAGAAAAAGAGATGGAGAGAGAGGGAATGAGAAAGAAATGGAGACAGAGAGAAAAAGAGAGAAAGATGGAGAAAGGGAGTGAGAAAGAGATGGAGAAAGAGAAAAGATGGGGAGAATGAGAGAGAGAGAAAGAGAGAAAGAGATGGAAAGAATAAGAAAGACGGAGAGAAAGAGATGGAGAGAGAGAGAGAGAGAATGAGGGAGAGAGAGGGAGAGAAAAAGAGATGGGGAGAGAGGGAATGAGAAAGAAATGGAGACAGAGAAAAAGAGAGAAAGATGAAGAAAGAGTGAGAAAGATGGAGAAAGAAAAGATGGGGAGAATGAGAGAGAGAGAAAGAGATGGAAACAGAGAAGAAAGACGGAGAGAAAGAGATGGAGAGAGAGAGGGAATGAGAATATAATGGAGACAGACTGAGAAAGAGGGAGAGAAATGGAGGGAGAGAAAAAGAGATGGAGAGAGAGAGAGGGAATGAGAAAGAAATGGAGACAGAGCGAGCGAAAGATGGAGAAAGCGAGAGAATGAAAGAGATGGAGAAAGAGAAAGGGAGAAAAGATGGGGAGAATGAGAGAGAGAGAAAGAGATGGAAACAGAATAAGAAAGATGGAGAGAAAGATAGAGAGAGAGGGAATGAGAATGTAATGTAGACTGAATGAGAAAGAGGGAGAGAGATGGAGGGAGAGAGAGAAAGAGAGATGGAGAGAGAGGGAATGAGAAAGAAATGGAGACAGAGCGAGCGAAAGATGGAGAAAGCGAGAGAATGAAAGAGATGGAGAAAGAGAAAGGGAGAAAAGATGGGGAGAATGAGAGAGGGAGAGACTGAGAAAGAGATAACGAGAGAAAGAGAGAGAGAACGTCAAAATCAGCTCCTCGGTGCTCTGGGGACATCCATTCCAACTTTGGTCACTAAGGGAGCCGTCATTAAATGAGGACTGAATGCAAGTTTTCCAAAGCGGAAAAAAGCGACGAACAGCTCAGAAAAAAAAAAAAACTGGGAAAAAAAAACCCGGACGGGGACCGTCGGATCCAGCCCTGCCGCCACCCAGTCTCCCCAGTCAAACCAGTTTGGGAACCCCCCACCACGCTGGCCGCCGACGCACCTGTTCAGGAAGGCGTTCCCGAAGGCGTTGAGCTTCCGAAAGGGCTTCTTGGGATCGACCACTAGGGCGTTGCCCGGGATGATCCCTTCCACCTGGCCTTGCATGACGGCAATGAAAGAGTCCGTGGTGGGCTCGGGTCCGATCCGCATCCCGGGAAAATCCTGCTCCAGGAGGTACCTGCAACCAGATGGCAAGCAGACAAGCCGTGATTGGGACCTTTCGGCAGACATCCAGCAAACAAGCCACCATCGGTATCGAAAAGGTGACATCCAGCAGACAAGCCATCATTGGGACCCAGAAATCAGACATCAGGCACACAAGCCATGATTGGAATTAGAAAGCAGACATCCGGCAGACAAGCCATGATTGGAATTAGAAAGCAGACATCCGGCAGAGAAGCCCTGATTGGTATCTGAAAGCAGACATCAAGCAAATAAGTCACCATTGGTACTTAAACCAGACATCCAGAAGACAAGCCATGGTTGGTACCTGAAACCGGACATCCAGACAAGCCATTGTTGGTACTTGAAACCAGACATCAAGCAGACATGTCTCCATCCAGCCATCATCTATCCATCCATCCATCATCTCTCCATCCATCTCTCCATCCATCCAACTCTCCATCGAGGAATTTCTGTCCATCCATCCATCATTTCATCCAATTACATCCGTCATCTCTCCATCCAATTCATCCATCCATCCATTTCTCCATCATCCAACTCTCCATCCAATTCATCCATCCATCATCTCTCCATCCATCCCTCTATCCATCATCTCTCCATCCATCCCTCTCCATCTCTCCATCCAATTCTCCATCCATCCATCTCTCTCTCCATCCATCAATCCAATTCTCCATCCATCTCTCTATCCATAATCTCTCCATCCAATTCTCCATCCATCCATCCGTGCATCCCTCTCCATCCAATTCTCCATGTCTATCCATCCATCTATCTCTCCACCATCCAACTCTCCATTCATCCATCCATCTCTCCATCCAATTCTCCATCAGTCCATCCATCCATCTCTCCATCATCCAACTCTCCACCATCTTCATCCAATTTTCCATCCATCCATCTCTCCATCCAATTCTCCATCCATCCATCCATCCATCCATCCATCCATCCATCCCTCTTCATCTCTATCCAATTCTACATTCATCCATCCATCTCTCTCCATCCATTCATCCTTCTCTCTCCATCTCTCCATCCAATTCACCATCAGTCCATCCATCCATTTCCCCATCCATTTATCTCTCCACCATCCAACTCTCCATTCATCCATCTCTCCATCCAATTCTCCATCAGTCCATCCATCCATCTCTCCATCATCCAACTCTCCACCATCTTCATCCAATTTTCCATCCATCCATCTCTCCATCCAATTCTCCATCCATCCATCCATCCATCCATCCATCCATCCATCCATCCATCCATCCATCCCTCTTCATCATCTCTATCCAATTCTACATTCATCCATCCATCTCTCTCCATCCATTCATCCATCTCTCCATCCAATTCACCATCAGTCCATCCATCCATTTCCCCATCCATTTATCTCTCCGCCATCCAACTCTCCATCCATCCATCTATCCATCCATCCAACTGTGGACGATGGGTGGATTTCAACTCCCAGAATTCCCCAGCCAGCAAAGCTCAATTAACCACGGCCTGGCTCGGCCACAGCACTTTAAAGCTCCCTTGAGGTCGTAAGCCGAGGACAAAGCGGAATGTGGCATGGTGCAGCCACCGGGCGGGGGGGGGGGGAGAAATTGGATGCCAAGCAGATCGGAGTCAGAAGACAAACAAACCGGGTTGAGAGGAGGAGGAAAAGACAAGTGGAAAGGACAAGCCAACGTTGATTTCAGAGGCTTTGATTGAACGTTGTTTTTCCAGGGAGAAGAACGGCGCCAGGGCACAGCTGGAGAAGCGCAGAGCCAAGCAGGTGTTTCCAGCTGTGCTTGGCTGCCCTTCCAAAGACCCTCCGACTCTGGAACAAGGCTTGTCAATCTTGGCAGATGGAAGACGGGCGGACCTCAACTCCCAGAATTACCCAGCCAGCAGGCTGAGAAGCCCTGATTTCTCTCTCTCTCTCTGGCTGTCTCTCTTTCTCTATCTATCTCTCTATCTCTTTCTCTATCTCTATCTATCTTTCTATCTCTCTATCTATCTATCCATCCATCCTCTCTCTCTCTCTGTTATCTCTCTCTATCCCTTTATCTATCTATATCTTTCTATCTCTATCCATCCATCATCTCTCTCTCTATATATATATCTTTATCTATCCATCCATCATCTCTCTCTCTGTTATCTCTCTATCCCTTTATCTCTCTATATCTATCTTTCTATCTCTCTATCCATCCATCATCTCTCTCTGTCCCTCTCTGTCTGTCTATCTCTCTCTCTCTCTATCTATATCTATCTTTCTATCTCTCTATCCATCCATCTCTCTATCCATCCATCCATGCATCCATCATCTATCTATGCATGCATCCATCATCTCTCTCTCTCTCTCTCTCTCTCTCTCTCTGTGTCTATCTTTCTATCCATCCATCATCCATCCATCATCCATCCATCATCCATCCATCAATCATCTATCTATCTATCTATCTATCTATCTATGCATCCATCCATCCATCTATCTATCTATCTATGCATGCATCTATCTATCTATCTATCTATCTATCTATCTATCTATCTATCTATCTATCTATCTATCTATGCATCCATCCATCCATCTATCTATCTATGCATCCATCTATCTATCTATCTATCTATCTCTATCTATCTATGCATCCATCCATCTATCTATCTATCTATCTATCTATCTATCTATCTATCTATGCATGCATCTATCTATCTATCTATCTATCTATCTATCTATCTATCTATCTATCTATCTATGCATCCATCTATCTATCTATCTATCTATGCATGCATCTATCTATCTATCTATCTATGCATCCATCTATCTATCTATCTATCTATCTCTATCTATCTATGCATCCATCCATCCATCTATCTATCTATCTATCTATCTATCTATCTATCTATCTATCTATCTATGCATGCATCTATCTATCTATCTATCTATGCATGCATCTATCTATCTATCTATCTATCTATCTATGCATGCATCTATCTATCTATCTATCTATCTATGCATGCATCTATCTATCTATCTATGCATGCATCTATCTATCTATCTATCTATCTATCTATCTATCTATCTATCTATCTATCTATCTGTATCTATTTGTGTCTCTCTGTATCTATCTACCTATCTATATCTGTCTCTATCTGTGTGTCTGTCTGTCTTGTCTATCTGTGTCTCTATCTATCTGTGTCTGTCTATCTATATTTCTATCTATCATCTATCTATGTATCTTTCTCTCTCTCTATCTGTGTCTCTATCTGTCTGTCTCTATCATATTCTCTATCATATTCTTTATCTGTCTGTCTGTCTGTCCATCCATGAGTTTCCATCCACTCATCCCTCCCTCCCTTTCTCAGCCCAGTTCCCTTTCGTTTCCCTTTTCTGACAGGCCGCAAGCCAGATCCTGTTAACGAAAAGTGGCCATTCGTTTGAAGTGTCTTGTTTAGTAACGGCAATTCCTGCCTCGGTTGCGGTCGTAAGCCGAGGACCCAATGCAGAAGAGGCCCGCTTTTGCCTGTGTCGCCACGACAAGCAACAAAGCACAAGCTTGGCGGAGGCTTCCTGTTGTGGTTACACACTTGAGCAACCTGGGTGGTGTCCTTGCTTACCGTAGAAGTGTGTGTGTGTGTGTGTGTGTGTGTGTGGTTGTTTTCGACACAGGAGGCTGCCGAGCTAGCAATTCACTCGGGCGCACAAAAAGCTTCAACACAACAGACAAGCCTTCCGGATTCTCGCCTTTGTTCTAGAGGAGAGTCCTCGCTTTACGACCCCTGCTAAAGGGAGGGGAATCCCCTGACCTTGGGACTCAGCAACCGTCGTAAGTGTGAAGCAGCGGCCAAGCCTTGGGATTTTGATCACTGGACCATTGGGGGATGGCCACCACGGTCCTGGGTGTGAACAACTACCCTAAGTCCCTTTTTTTTGGCCCCCCCCGCCATTGTAACTCAGGACGGTCATTAAACGAGGTGTTGTAAATTGAGGACTTCCTGCAGCCTAAGACACTGATGATGTTCCCTAGTTGGGTGGTGAGACGTCTGCAAAGAAAACCACCCAGATCAGAGAACACCTGGGAGCCTACATTCCTTTCTCCTCCATAACTGACCCTCATATTTCCGTCGTTAAGTGAGGCAGTTGTGATGCGGCTTTTGCCTCATCGGACAAGCTTTTTTCTGCCACCCTTATGAGATGAATCTATGCCAGGGGCCTTTAAACGTGGCCTCTTTTATGACTGGTGGACTTCAGCTCCCAGAATTCCTCAGCCAGCATGCCTGGCTGAGGAATTCTGGGAGTTGAAGTCCACCAGTCATAAAAGGGCCTGGTTTGAAGACCCCTAGTCTGGATCCAAGCCCACAGTTTCATCAAAATGGCCGACTGAGGAATTCTGGGAGTTGAAGTCCACCAATCAGAAAAGGGCCAAGTTGGAAGGCCCCTAAGAGTCTGGATCCAAGCTCCCAGTTTAATCAAAATGGCCGACTGAGGAATTCTGGGAGTTGAAGTCCACCAGTCAGAAAAGGGCCAAGCTGGAAGGCCCCTGAGAGTCTGGATCCAAGCCCGCAGTTTCATCAAAATGGCCGACTAAGGAATTCTGGGAGTTGAAGTCCACTAGTCAGAAAAGGGCCAAGTTGGAAGGCCCCTGAGAGTCTGGATCTAAGCCCGCAGTTTCATCAAAATGGCCGACTGAGGAATTCTGGGAGTTGAAGTCCACCAGTCAGAAAAGGGCCAAGCTGGAAGGCCCCTGAGAGTCTGGATCCAAGCCCGCAGTTTCATCAAAATGGCCGACTGAGGAATTCTGGGAGTTGAAGTCAGTCATCAAAGGGCCAAAGTTGAAGACCCCTGCACTAAGGCTCTGCTACCCATCGGTCCCAGCTGGGGCCTTCAACCTCGGCCCTTTGAGGGCTCCTGGACTTCAACTCCCAGAATGCCTCAGCCAGGCACTCTGGGAGTTGTAGTTTTCCCTCCCCCCCATTCTAAAAGGGACCAAATTGAAGAGACCAACAACCACCGAGGGTTCCCGTTATTCCTGTCCCCAGAAGGCCATTCGCCCGCCGTGATTCCCCACTGGGGCATGCTGGGAGTTGTAGTCTGAGCCATGGAAAAAGGGGTGAACTTCTCAGATTAAAAGCTGGAGAAACATCGGAGTTCGCAATGGAAGGCTTACTATTAACTCTCATCCACACCCCAATACCAGAAGACTACTGTCCCCATTGATCCCAGCCGGGGAGGGGGGCATTCTGGGACCTGTAGTCCCTGCCTTAAAGGGGCCCAATTCGAGCACAGAGGGCTGACTCGCACCGCCACCCCCCAATACAAGAAGACTACTGTCCCCATCCATCCCAGCCGGGGGGAATTCAGGGATTTGTATTCCCCCCCCCAGGAAGACTACTGTCCCCATCCATCCCAGCCAGGGGGCATTCAGGGACTTGTAGTCCCCCCACCCCCCAATACAAGAAGACTACTTTCCCCATCAATCCCAGCTCGGGGCATTCTGGGACTTGTAGTCCCCCCTCTCCCCAATACAAGACTACTGTCCCTATCAATCCCAGCCGGGGGGCATTCTGGGACTTGTAGTCTCCCCACCCATGTTCAAGAGGCCCAAATGAACAATTGAGGGTCGCCCACGATTCCCAACCCAACAAGGCTATTTTACCCGTTGATCTCAGCTGAGGGGGGGGGATTGGGGTCTCTCACCCCCACCCCCCAATACAAGAAGACTACTGTCCCCATCGATCCCAGCCAGGGGGCATTCTGGGACTTGTAGTCCCCCCAACCATGTTCAAGAGGTCCAAATTAACAATTGAGGGTCACCCACGATACCCAACCCAACAAGGCTATTTTACCTGTTGATCTCAGCTGAGGGGGGGGGATTGGGGTCTCTCACTCCCACCCCCTAATACAAGAAGACTACTGTCCCCATTGATCCCAGCTAGGGGGCATTCTGGGACTTGTAGTCCCCCCACCCATGTTCAAGAGGCCCAAATTAACAATTGAGGGTCGCCCACGATACCCAACCCAACAAGGCTATTTTACCTGTTGATCTCAGCTGAGGGGGGGGATTGGGGTCTCTCACTCCCACCCCCTAATACAAGAAGACTACTGTCCCCATCGATCCCAGCCGGGGGGAATTCAGGGACTTGTAGTCCCCTGACCCAATACAGGAAAACTACTGTTCCCATCGATCCAAGCCAGGAGCCCCATCCCCCCCATCTTCAAGGGGCCCAACCTGAGCACTAACCATGGAGGGTCGCCCACGATTCTCCCCCCCTCCTCCATACAAGACTACTGTCCCCATCCATCCCAGCTGGAGGGCATTCTGGGACTTGTAGTTCCCCCACCCCCCAATAGAGGAAGACTACTCTCCCCATCCATCCCAGCCAGGGGGGCATTCTGGGACTTGTAGTCCCTCCCACCCCCCAAGACAGGAAGACTACTGTCCCCATCCATCCCAGCCAGCACTGTGGGACTGTGGTCCCTCCACCCCCCCAATACAGGAAGACTACTCTCCCCATCCATCCCCGTCAGCATTCTGGGACCTGTAGTCCCCCTCCCCATCCTTGAAGATCCATCCCAGCCAGCATTCTGGGACTGGTAGTCCTCCCTCCCCATCTTCGAGCACTAACCATGGAGGGTCACCCGTGATTTCTGCCCTCCCCCCTCACACAAGACTATTGCCCCCATCGACCCCAGCCGGGGAGGGGCATTCTGGGACGTGTGGTCCCCCACCCCCCAATACAGGAAGACTACTCTCCCCATCCATCCCAGCCGGGGGGCATTCTGGGACTTGTAGTCCCCCACTCCCCAATACAAGAAGACTACTGTCCCCATCCATCCCAGCCAGCATTCTGGGACCTGTAGTCCCCCTCCCCATCCTTGAAGATCCATCCCAGCCAGCATTCTAGGACTGGTAGTCCCCCTCCCCATCTTCAAGGACTTTGAGCACTAACCATGGAGGGTCACCCGTGATTTCTGCCCCGCCCTCTCATACAAGACTATTGCCCCCATCGATCCCAGCCGGGGGGCATTCTGGGACTTGTAGTCCCTCCCACCCCCCAATACAGGAAGACTACTCTCCCCATCCATCCCAGCCAGCACTGTGGGACTTGTAGTCCCCCACCCCCAATACAAGAAGACTACTCTCCCCATCCATCCCACCTGGGGGGGGCATTCTGGGACTTGTGGTCCCCCCACCCCCCAATACAGGGAGACTACTGTCCCCATTCATCCCAGCCAGCATTGTGGGACTTGTAGTCCCCCACCCCCCAATACAGGAAGACTACTCTCCGCATCCATCCCAACCGGGGGGGGGGCATTCTGGGACTTGTGGTCCCTCCACCCCCCCAATACAGGAAGACTACTCTCCCCATCCATCCCAGACAGCATTCTGGGACCTGTAGTCCCCCTCCCCATCCTTGAAGATCCATCCCAGCCAGCATTCTGGGACTGGTAGTCCTCCCTCCCCATCTTCAAGGACTTTGGGCACTAACCATGGAGGGTCACCCGTGATTTCTGCCCTCCCCCCTCACCCAAGACTATTGCCCCCATCGATCCCAGCCGGGGAGGGGCCTTCTGGGTCTTGTAGTCCCGCCCTCCAAAAGAAATCAGCCCCCTCAAAAAAGGAGGGGAAAGGGTGGGGGGGCTTGTTTCTTTCGCCTCCCCCCTTCTCCCCAAAGCGTGTTGTGCGTTGCGTAGTGTGTGTTGTGTTGTGTCGTTGTGTAGCTGCCTAGCGCCTCACCGGATGAAGGTGGTCTTGCCGGTGGAGTACTGGCCGACCAGGAGCACCATGGGCTTGTTGTCGAAGTCGGCGTCCTCCAGGGCGGGCGAGTGGAACTCGTGGAACCTGTAGTGCTCCTCCAGCGGCAGCAGCTTGGCCCGGTAGAGCTTCCGCAGCCCCTCGCTGACCGTTTGGAAGACCTCGGGGTCCTTGCGCCGCCGCTCGTCGCCGCCCAGCCAGCTGAACATGGCGGAGGAGGAGGAGAGCCCGGCAGGGAAAGAGAGACGGACAGAGGAGAGAAGCCAGAAGGACTCAGCCCGGGGGAAAAGGCGGCGGCGGCGGCGGCGGCGGCGGCACTTTAAATGCCAACCCTGCCGGCGATCCACCCACCTACCCCGGAAGCGGAAATAAATGCCCCTCCTCCCGGATTTCCGCTCCGGAGGCAGGAGGCGGAACGGACTTTCTCGGCAGGCGGGGTGGGCGGGGTGGAGAAGGGACGGACTTCCGGTTGAGGAAGAGGCACAGGAAGGAAAGGAAAGACTCCACGGCCGGACTTTCCGCTGAAGTCGCAGGGCGGAAGCCGCCCCTCCGCGCTAGGAGGAGACTCTCTATGGCGACTTTGGGGGGGGGGAAGGGAAAAGCGAAGGGGCTGAGTTCCCGGTTCGGTTGCGGGGGTTTGAAAGAGGGGGGGGGACTCCCGTTGAGGGAATGCTGCGCTAGGAAGTGACTCTATGGCGAGACTTTCCGCTGAAGTAAACAGAGCGAAGCCCCCCGCGCTAGGAGGAGACTCTCTATGGCGACTTTGGGGAAGGGAAAGGAGAAGGGGTTGGGTTTCCGGTTCGGTTGCGGGGGTTTGAAAGGGGCGGACTTCCGTTGAGGCAACGCTACGCTAGGAAGTGACTCTATGGCGGGACTTTCCGCCGAAGTAACAGAGCGAAGCCCTCCGCGCTAGGAGGACACTCTCTATGGCGGCGACTGGGAGGAGGTAAAGGAGAAGGGGTTGAGTTTCCGGTCGGGCCCGCGGTTGGAAGGAGTGGACTTCCGGTGATGGAAGAAGCATAGGAAGTGACTATGACGGATTTGCGCTGAAGTCACCGGGCCAAGCCCTCCGCGCTAGGCGGACACGCTCTATGGCGGCCACGGAGGAAAGAGACCGCGATGGCCTCTAGGACTGAATGGATTCTCTATGGAAGCGGGGACGAAGAGGAGATGGGCTTCCGGTCGGTGCCGCGGTATGAAAGGGGACTTCCGGCTAGGATATGCCGCGCTAGGAGGAGGCTCTCTGTGGTGCTGGGGCTTCCGATTAAGTAGAGTCGGGGAAGCAGGCCCCGCTAGGCGGAGTCTCTATGGCGGAGGAGGGCGTGGCCTTCTGGCCCAACCCAAGTCTACTTCATCATGGAGTTGGGTAGGAAAGAAGCAGGCTGTGCTAGGCGAAGTCTCTATGGCGGCGGCGGGGGGGGGGGAACGTCGTATTGGCCCAGCTGCATCGCAGCATCGTTTTCCTCCTCCACAGTCTCGGCCGCCTCCTGGCGGTCGAGTGGAGAGCGGCGCAGGCGCACTCGTGGAGACTGGCGGGGGGGGGAGGTAGCCGCCACGCAGGCGCAGAGGTTCCTGACGCGCAGTCGGGTCCTCCGCAGAGGCGGCTACTTGAGTGCCTGCGCGGGGAGGCGGGGTCCTGGCGGGGTCCTGACGTGACATTGATTTGGCCGCCATGGCGTCGTCGCAGCAGCAGCAACAGGCTCGCGTCCCTCCGGCCGCCGCCGCCGCTTCCGCCCCCAACCCGGGCGTGGTTGGCTTCCTGCGCCACCAAATAAAGCATCGGCCCAGCGTGAGTGGCTCCCCGGGACTCCCGGCCCCATCGTCCCCGGCCGGCTCAGCCCGCCCCAGGGGTCATTTGGATGCCTGGACTGCAGCTCCCATCATCCCTGGCCAGGGCAGTGCAGCTCACCCTAGTGGTCATTTGTATACCAGGACTCCAGCTCCCATCGTCCCCAGCTCTACCCCCCCCCTCGGGGTCATTTGTAGGCCAGGACTGCAGCTCCCATGATCCCCGGCTAGTGCAGCCCACTTTAATGGTCATTTGTATGCCTGGACTCCAGCTCCCATCGTCCCCAGCTCTACCCCCTTCGGAGGTCATTTGTAGGCCAGGACTGCAGCTCCCATGATCCCCAGCCAGCCCAGCCCACCCTAATGGTCATTTGTAGGCCTGGACTCCAGCACCCATCGTCCCCAGCTCTACCCTCCCTAAGGGGTCATTTGTAGGCCTGGACTCCAGCTCCCATCGTCCCCAGCTCTACCCTCCCTCGGGGGTCAATTGTAGGCCAGGACTGCAGCTCCCATGATCCCCAGTCAGAGCAGCCCACCCTAATGGTCATTTGTATGCCTGGACTTCTGCTCCCATCGTCCCCAGCTCTACCCTCCCTAGGGGGTCATTTGTATGCCTGGACTCCAGCTCCCATCATCCCCAGCTCTACTCTCCCTAGGCGGTCGTTTGTATGCCTGGACTCCAGCTCCCATCATCCCCAGCTCTACTCTCCCTAGGGGGTCATTTGTATGCCTGGACTCCAGCTCCCATCGTCCCCAGCTCTACCCTCCCTAGGGGTCATTTGTAGGCCAGGACTGCAGCTCCCATAATCCTCTTGCCGGTGCAGCCTATCCTAGATGTCATTTGCATACCTGGACCTCAGGTAGCACTGCCCCCCTCAGGGTCTTGTATATGCCTGGACTCCAGTTCCCATAGTCCTCAGCCCACACAATTCAGCCTGGACTGCATCTCCCATAATCCCCCCCATTTGTATGCCTGGATACCGGCCCCCATAATCCCTGGCCAGTGCGGCCCACCCTAGTCGTCGTTTGTATGCCTGGACCTCAGCTCCCATCGTCCACGGCCGGCACTGCCCTCCCTCGCGGTCTTTTATGTCCCTGGTTTCCAGCCCCCATCGTCCCCGGCTTTTCTTTTTTTTTTATTGAATTTTTTTTTATTTTTTAACATACAAACATTTATAAAAATACAATAAAATTTTAAAGTAAGAAAACCCCCCTTACCCTCCCTCCCACCCCCCACCCCCCTCCCTTCACTTCCCAGAGCAGAATACAGGGTTAATAATAACAAAATTTATAATAATTTTAAAAAAAAGAAAAAAAGAAAAGAAAAAAGAAAAGAGGAAAAAATTATCATAATTAACCTTTAACTCCATAACCTATAAAACAATTCTCTATAATATTTAATATTCATTCATAAAATAAATGAAACTTTTTAATTCCATACTTTTTCTGAATTTAATCTATCCACCTTCCCCATACAATAATATATCTTTCTTGTGTATGATCCTTTAAATAAGCAGAAATTTTTGCCATTTCTGCACAACTAGATACTTTAAATATCCATTCTTCTAAAGTAGGCAAGGAATCTTTCTTCCAATATAAACCTACTAGTAACCTTGCTGCAGTTAATAAATTCAACATCAAAGTAGTTTCTTTTTCATTTAAGTCAGCAAAAATACCAAGTAAAAATAGTTGAGGAGTAAACTTTATCTTTTTTCTAAAAATCTTTTGAATGTTCCACCAAATCATAATCCAAAAAGCCTTTACTTTTTTACAATTCCACCAAATATGAAAGTATGTCGCATCATTATTGCCACATCTCCAACATTTGGACTGTATATTGGAATACATACAAGATAATTTTTTAGGATCTAAATGCCATCTATAAAACATTTTATAAATATTTTCTCTCAAATTTTGAGCTTGTGTAAATTTAACATTTCTTGTCCAAATTGTCTCCCATAAATCCAATGAGATCGGCTCCTGTATATTCTGAGCCCATTTAATCATACAGTCTTTAACCAATTCTGTTTCCGAGTCTAACTCTAATAAAACATTGTATATTCTTTTTATATGAGCCGGACTTTGATTTTTAATCTGAATAACCAATTGTCTATCTTCTAATGTTATTCCCTCTTTCTTATCGACAGTCCATCTGTCCACTATTTGTAAATATTGAAACCATGACTGTAGAATATTTTCCTGCCTTAATACATCCAGGGATTTCAAATGCCAATTCAAACCAGAGCAAATTAACAATTCTTTATATGAGATTTTATCAAAATTTGTCCCCTTAGAAGTTCCCTCAATTGCATGTCTGGGAATCCCCCAGATAGGTATTTTATAATTTAATCTATAATAATACTTTTTCCAAACACGAAGTAAGGCATTCCTCAAAATATGTGATTTAAAAGTCCGATCAACTTTCTTATTAAAAATTAAATATGCATGCCAACCATATATTAAATCCCAACCTTCCAAAAAAAGAATATCCATATTTGTTAAATTAAGCCAATCACTTAACCAAGTTAGGGCGGCTGCATCATAATATAATTTCAAATTAGGTGCCTTAAGTCCCCCTCTTTCTCGAGCATCCTGTAATATCTTAAATTTAACCCTTGGTTTCTTCCCGGCCCATATAAAATTATTGATACCCTTTTGCCATTCCTCCAAATTTGCCTCTTTTTTAAGAATAGGTATCATCTGAAACAAAAAAAGAAACTTTGGTAGAACATTCATTTTTACAGCTGAAATTCTCCCCAACAATGACAATTGCAATTTTTTCCAATCTCTTAAGTCCTTTTGAACTTTTGCCCATAATGTCCCCGGCTTTTCAAGTGCAGTCCACCTAGAGGTCCTTTGTATGCCTGGAGTCCAGCTCCCATCGTCCCCACTCAGTTCTACGCACCCTAGGGGTCATTTGTAGGCCAGGACTGCAGCTCCCATGATCCCCGGCCAGTGCAGCCCACCTTAATGGTCATTTGTATGCCTGGACTCAGGCTCCCATGATCCCCGGCCAGTGGGTCCCACCCTAAGGATCATTTGTATGCCAGGACTCCAGCTCCCATCGTCCCCAGCCAGCTCTACCCTCCCTAACGGGTGTTTTGTATGCCTGGACCATCATCCCTGGCTGTAAATCCCCCTTTACCTGCCCCAGATCTTTTATACACCTAAACTCCAGCTTCCATAATCCCCAGCCGACCCTTTTCCCCCGCCTGGACACCAATTCCCATCATCCCCAGTGCTTGCTCCGCCTACGGGGGGGGGAGTGTCTTCAATCACACCCTTAATATCTTTCCCATCCAGTAACAAAATACAGGCAAGTCCTCGGCTTTACGACCACAGCCGAGCCTGACTTTTCCGTCACTAAGCGAGTCGTCATCATTCAGTGAATCCCTTTTCCGTCACTAAGCGGGCTGCCTTTGTTCAGCGAATCCCTTGCCGTCGTAGGCGGTCGCTAAGCAAATCTAGCATCCCCCGTTGGTTGGCCAGGCAGACGGGATCACCGCAACCCGTCGTAAATACGAGTTGTAAATACATCGTAAGTGTGAAAAGTGTGAAAAAGGCGTCGGTCACCGCTTTCATAGCCGTCGTGATAATCAGAAACGATGCTAAGTCGTTTTTTTTCTCCTGAGCCGTTGCGGCTCCCGGCAGTCATTAAATGAATGGTCGTAAAGGGAGGACAGCCTGGATGGCTTTTTAATCTGAATTTTCTCTTTTTTTTTCCTCGCAGCTGATTCCGCTTTTCTTAATTATGGGGACCGCAGTGGCCGGGGCGGGACTCTACCTGATGCGCCTGGCTGTTTTGTGTCCGGAAGTAAGGTATGTATCTGACATTAAACCTGGTTTATTTCACAAGCCACCATTCGGGGTTTGCGGAAATGAGCCCATTGCTCATTTTTGCCTCTTGCCAAAAGAAAAAAGAAAAAAAAACCAACCCAAAAAACAGTGTCAAAGAACAAGCCAGCTTTTGAACCACAGTTCGATTTCATACAAGGAAGTCCTCGGCTTACGACAGTCTCTTTAGCGACCGTTCAAAATTCCTACAGCACTGGGGGAAAAAAGGGACTTAGGATTGTTTTTTGTCCTTAACGACCGTCGCAACGTCGTGATCCGAATTCAGAGGCTTTGGCCCCTGGCTTGTATTTATGATGGTCGTAAATCACCTGATCCCCTTTTGCGACTCACTGACCAGTCAGTGGGGAAGCTGGGTTCACTTTACGACCGTGTTACTTACCGTTTGCCCTGTAATAAAAGAGGTAGGCCGATTGTAAAGGGGGGCAAAAGTCCCTTCATAAAATGTCTCGCTTACCAACAGGAATGGGTCGCGTGTCGCTTTGCGAAGGCCCGTCGTCACTTTGAATTGTGCTAGCTAAGCAACCGGTCATAAAGCGAGGACTGCCGGCGTAGCCGGCCCTGATACGTCAATCTTTGATTCCCTTTTCTCTCGTAGATGGGACAAGAAGAATAATCCGGAACCGTGGAACAACCTCGATGCCACTCACCGTTACAAGGTGGGGGCATTTAAATATCGAACAAATTTGGGAGCGCGGAGCAGGGGGGGGTTGGACTAGATGACCTCCGAGGTCCCTTCCAGCCCTGTTACTGTATGATTCTGTAAGGCTCTCCAGCTTGAGCAGGGGGGGTTGGGCTAGATGACCTCCCAGGTCCCTTCCAACTCTGTTCTCTGATTTTGTAAGGTTCTCCTGCTTGAGCAGGGGGGTTGGACTAGATGACCTCCAAGGTCCCCTTCAACTCTGTTACTCTACGATTCTGTAAGGGTCTCCTGCTTGAGCAGGGGGTTGGACTGGATGACCTCCAGGGTCCCTTCCAACTCTTCTTGTTCTGTGATTCTGTAAGGGTCTCCTGCTTGAGCAAGGGGTTGGACTAGATGACCTCCAGGGTCCCTTCCAACTCTTGTTGTTCTGTGATTCTGCAACAGTTTCCTGCCTGAGCAGGGGTTTGGACTAGATGACCTCTAAGGTCCCTTCCAGCTGTGCCATTCTATGATTTTGTAAGGGTCTCCCGCCGGACGACCGGGTTAGACTAGATGACCTCCCAAGATCCCTTTCAACTCCCTAATTCTGTTGTTGTTCTGTTATTTGAAGAGGCTCCAGCCTCCCCCCCCCCAAATTGTTTTATTTTCAATTTCACCGATAGTTTATATAATACAGGATACGGATGAAAGGGCTGGATTAAAATTAGCTTTGGGATCCAGCCAGGATAAGGAAAAGCAAACTAAGAAGATAAAAGCGGATTAAATTCCAAGGTCAATCCTTTTGCAGTCTTCTCCCTCTGATGGAGAATGGAACTATAGACATTTCTTGGAGTCCTCTCCTCTTAAAGCAGGCCAGCTGGGGGATTCTGGGAGTGGAAGTCCTCCCCTCTTACAGCAGGCCAGCTGGGGGATTCTGGGAGTGGAAATTCCACCCTCTTAAAGCAGGCCAGGTGGGGGATTCTGGGAGTGGAAGCCCTCCCCTCTTAAAGCAGGCCAGCTGGGGGATTCTGGGAGTGGAAATCCCACCCTCTTAAAGCAGGCCAGCTGGGGGATTCTGGGGGTTGGAGTCCACCCCTCTTAAAGCAGGCCAGCTGGGGGATTCTGGGAGTGGAAGCCCTCCCCTCTTAAAGCAGGCCAGCTGGGGGATTCTGGGAGTGGAAATCCCACCCTCTTAAAGCAGGCCAGCTGGGGGATTCTGGGAGCGTACTTATCCAATAGATACTTTCTATTTTCTCCACAACAATCCTACGAGGCAGGTTGGACTGAGAGAGCTCAAAGTCACCCACCTGGCTTTTATGCCTAAAGCAGAACTAGAACTCACCGTCTCTTGTTGATTGGCCCAAAGTCACCCAACCGTCTTTCTTGCCTAAGGTGGGACTAGAACTCACCGTCTCCTGGTGATTGGTCCAAAATCAACCAACTGACTTTCATGCCTTAAGACGGGACTAGAACTCACCGTCTCCTGGCGATTGGCCCAAAGTCACCCAGCTGGCTTTCCTGCCTAAGGCAGGACTAGAACTCACCGTCTCCTGGCGATTGGCCCAAGGTCACCTAACAGGCTTTCCTGCCTAAGGCGGGGCTAGAACTCTCCCTCTCCTAGTGATTGGTCCAAAGTCACCCAGCCGGCTTTTGTGGCTAAGGCGGGACTAGAACTCCCAGTTTCCTGGGGATTGGCCCAAAGTCACCCAGCTGGCTTTCCTGCCTAAGGCGGGACTAGAACTCACCGTCTCCTGGCGATTGGCCCAAAGTTACCTAACAGGCTTTCCTGCCTAAGGCGGGGCTAGAACTCTCCCTCTCCTAGTGATTGGTCTAAAGTCACCCAGCCGGCTTTTGTGGCTAAGGCGGGACTAGAACTCACTGTCTCTTAGTGATTGGCCCAAAGTCCGCCAGTTGGCTTTCCTGCCTAAGGCGGGACTAGAACTCACTGTCTCCTAGTGATTGGCCCAAAGTCTGCCAGTTGGCTTTCCTGCCTAAGGCGGGACTAGAACTCACTGTCTCTTAGTGATTGGCCCAAAGTCCGCCAGTTGGCTTTCCTGCCTAAGGCGGGACTAGAACTCACTGTCTCTTAGTGATTGGCCCAAAGTCCGCCAGTTGGCTTTCCTGCCTAAGGCGGGACTAGAACTCACTGTCTCCTAGTGATTGGCCCAAAGTCCGCCAGTTGGCTTTCATGCCTAAGGCGGGACTAGAACTGTCTCCCGGTGACTGTCAAGTTTTTCAGCCTATAGCAAAGTTCTGTCTGTCTAGATACGCGGGGTGGTGGGTTTTGATTTACAGCAGGGTTTATGGTGCTGGGTAGCAGAGTGGCAAGACCACTTAGTAAAGCCCTAGTAAATCCTCCTTTTGGGATGCAAAGTCGTCGTCCGTGTAGCGTAAAATCTCTAAATTTTTTGCATCCGTTTTCATATTTTTATATTTTGGGACAAGCAGGGCTTCCATCCAAATAATTCCCGTTTTTTCCCCCCCTAGTTTTTCGCCATTAATATGGACTACAGCAAGTTGAAGAAAGACCGCCCGGATTTCTGAGAACGAGGCGAGTTTTTTTGGGGGGGGGGAGAACCGTTCTCGGGATAAGCCGTCGACGAAGGTCTTTGGGTCTTCCGGAAGCTGACCGCACAACTTGTACACTTACTTCGTAATCCAGGAAACCAAAATCTTTGTGGTGCATCGCGCTTAAAAAAACAATCAATAATGATGTTTTGGAGACTTGCATGCTTAAAATTAATAAATGATCGACTTGAAAACCTCAAGGGCGTTGGGTCAGCCTGGATTTCTTGGAAACCTTGGCGAAGTTGGGTCAGAACCCTTTGGAAAAAAAAAGAGAAAAAAGGAAAAGAATTATGGGAGGGAAAGGAAAGGAGATAAGAAAGAAAGAAAGAGAGGAAGAAAGAAAGAAAGAGAAAGAAAGAAAGAAAGAAAGAAAGAAAGAAAGAAAGAAAGAAAGAGAAAGAAAGAAAGAAAAAAAAAGGGAAAAAAGTATTATGGTAGGGAAGGCAAAGGAGACGAGAAAGAAAGAAAAAAGGAAGAAAGGAAGAGAAGAAAGAAAGAAAAAGGAGAAGAGAGAAAGAAAAAGAAAGAAGAAAGGAAGAGAAGAAAGAAAGAAAAAGAAAGAAGAGGGAAAGAGGGAAAAAAGTATGGTAGGGAAGGGAAAGGAGACGAGAAAGAAAAAAAAAGAGAAAAAAGAGAGAGGGAAAAAAGTATGGTAGGGAAGGGAAAGGAGACGAGAAAGAGAAAAAGAAAGGAAGAAAGAAAGAAAAAAGGAGGGAGGGAAAAAAGAATTACAGTAGGGAAGGGAAAGGAGATGAGAAAGAAAGAAAAAAAGAAAAAAAAGAAGGACAGAAAAAGGACACAAGAAAAAAGTCAAGGAAGAAATGAAGGAGAGGCAGGAGGAAAGAAGGACAGAAATAAAAAAAACGAAGGAAGGAAAAAAATGGGAAAGGGAAGGAGAGAAAGATTGGAGGCAAGAATGAAGGAGAGAAAAAACAAGCAAAGGAAAAAAGGAAAGGAAAAAGATGAGGGAAGGAAGAAATGAAGGAGAAAGGCAGAAGGACCAAAAAAACAGGAAGGAAAGAAGGAACGAGGAAAGATTGGAGGAAATGAGATAAAGGAAAGAGGGAAGGAGGAAATGAAGGAGAAAGGCAGAAGAAAGGAAGGACAGAAAAGGAAAAAGGAAGGCGGGAAGGGAAGAAAAAGGAGGAAACAAGACAAAAGGGAAGTCAAATCTAAAAAGAATCTGCACTGCCAGAGAGAAAGACGGGCGGGTTGTCTATAGCTCGTCCTTGATTTATGACCACAATCGATTTCCCCCCCCCCAATTTTCCGTCGCTAAGTTAGACGGCAGCAAATTGCATTTTTGCCCCATCTGACGACCGTTCTCGCCACCAGTCTTAAGCGAATCCCTGCGCTTGGTCGGAAAGGCGGCCCCAGGAGATTGAGTGACCCCGGGACGCTGCCAGCGTCGTAACTGCGAGTCGTTTGCCTCGTGGGTGGATTTTCGAGCCCAGGAGGCCTTTGGGATGGGAGACCACCAGGAGAGCCCCGGGACTGTAGACAAAACTGGAGAAAAATTGGAACGTGAGGGAAGTTGACGCCTCAATTTAGGAGTTAAGTCAGGCTGGATATAGTCCACTGTCAATCTAATTGGGAAATAAGAACTGCTCGGGATGGGAGACCACCAGGAGATCTAGACTAAACTGAGGGCGGTGGAAAATCCCACCCATTGCCTACTTGCTTCTCTAATATGCAACCCCACAAGACCCCTGTAGGACCCTCCCAGAGGGCTCCATTTACTTATTTACTTATTATTTACTACAAGGCCGCACAGACAGGCCTGAGGGAAAGAGGCGGGACTACATCTCCCGGCATGCCCCGCGGGTGAGGGAGAGCCCTGCTGCTCTCCGAGCGCTATGTCTATGAGGTAAAAAAGGGAGGGACTTCAACTCCCAGAATGCGCTGCGCGCCACATTCATAGTCGACGCTGCTGCTCAAGCGGCCGTGAGGCGAAAGACGAGAGGACTTCAAAGCCCAGAGTGCCCCGCGCGCAGTTTCCGCCCTAGGAAGGCCGCAGCGGCTCCGGCGGACGTTAAATCGGGACTTTAAACCTCAAGAGTGCTTCGTCGACGTAAGGAGAGCATGAGAAGGCAAGAGGACTTCAAACCCCAGGGTGCTCCGCGCGCAGCGGAAAGCCATCGCAGCTCAGGAGGGCCTGGCGGGGGGGGGAAGTGAAGGACTGTCATCCCAAGAGTGCCTCGCGCGCCACTTCCGCCGGCAGAAAGCCTCCGCGGCTCAGGTGGCGTGAGAGGCGAGACACGGAGGACTTCAACTCCCAGAGATCTGCGCGCGCCGCTTCCGCCAGACTCGGAAGACCCCCCCCGACTGAGGCCGGACTTCAACTCCCAGAGCTCTCCGCGCGTCGCTTCCGCCAATTTAGGAACTCCGCGGCTGAGGCGAGATTTCTAACCCCCAGAGTTCTTCGTGCGCGGCTTCTCGCAGACTAAGAAGACCGCCGCTGAGGCCGGACTGCAACTCCCAGAGTTCTCCGCGCGTCGCTTCCGCCAATTTAGGAACCCCCGCGGCCGAGGCGAGACTTCTAACTCCCAGAGTTCCTCGCGCGCCGCTTCCGCCAGGCTAGGCAACTTGCGACTGAAGCCCGCCTTCGACTCCCAGAGTTCCTCGCGCGCCGCTTCTGCCAGACAAGGCAGACCGCGGCTAAGGCCGGACTTCAACTCCCAGAACTCCCCGCGCGGGAGAAGGCCGCGGCCTCCGAGCGGCGAAAAGAGGCGGCGGGGGAGGCGGGACTGCATCCGCCGCCATCCGCCGCGGGGGAGGCGGACCCCGGTCGGCGTCGGCTCCATGGAGACCCCCGCGGCGGCCACGTTCACCCTGGCCTATTTGGTGCTGGCCGTCTGCTTCGTCTTCCCGCCCAGCGAGTTCCACCTGGCCGGGCTGACGGTGCAGAACCTGCTGGGCGGCTGGCTGGGCAGCGAGGACGCGGCCTTCGTGCAGTACCACCTGCGCAGGGGCGCCGGCACGCTCTTGGCCCACGCCGCCCTGCCCCTGGGTGAGGGTCCTTTCCCCCCCCACAGGCAGGGTCTTTAGGAGAAAGGGGAGGGGCAGTGCCAGGGGAGGGGGGAGGAGAAAGGGGAGGGGCAGTGCCAGGGGAGGGACGGGAGGGGGGAGGAGAAAGGGGAGGGGCAGTGCCAGGGGAGGGGGGAGAAGAAAGGGGAGGGGCAGTGCCAGGGGAGGGGGGAGGAGAAAGGGGAAGGGCAGTGCCAGAGGAGGGGGGAGGAGAAAGGGGAGGGGCAGTGCCAGGGGAGGGGGGGCGAGGGAATGACACTCACACTTTAGGGAGGGGGAGACCCAAGGGAGGGGGGAGGGAATGATCCCCCCACTTCAGGGGAGGGGGAGGGAATGACACCCCCCTTCAGGGTCTAGGAGAAGGGAGGGGGATCTGGGGGGAATGACCCCCCCACTCAGGGTTGAGGGGAGGGGGAAGAGAACGACCCCCCCACTTCCGGGTCTAGGACAGAAGGGAGGGGGAGGGAATGACACCTGCCACACACTCAGGCTCTCTAGGAGAAAGGGGAGGGGCGGTCCCAAGGGAGGGGGGAAGAGAAAGGGGAGGGGCACTGCCAGGGGAGGGGGGGGCAAGGGAATGACACCGTCACACTTTAGGGTCTAGGGAAGAGGGAGACCCAAGGGAGGGGGTGGGAATGACACCCCCCTTCAGGGTCTAGGAGAAGGGAGGGGGAGCTGGGGGGGGGAAATGACCCCCCACTCAGAGGGGAGGGGGAGAGACCGACCCCCCCCACTTCCGGGTCTAGGCCAGGAGGGGGAGGGAATGACACCCTCCCCTTCCGGGTCTAGGAGGAGGGAGGGGGAGCTGGGGGGAATGACCCCCCCCACTCAGAGTTGAGGGGAGGGGGAGAGAACGACCCCCCCCACTTCCGGGTCTAGGACAGAAGGGAGGGGGAGGGAATGACACCCGACACACACTCAGGCTCTCTAGGAGAAAGGGGAGGGGCGGTCCCAAGGGAGGGGGGAGGAGAAAGGGGAGGGGCAGTGCCAGGGGAGTGGGGGCAAGGGAATGGCACCATCATACTTTAGGGAGGGGGAGACCCAAGGGGGGGGCGAAGGAATGAACCCCCACTTCAGGGTCGAGGGGAGGGAATGACCCCCCCACTCAGGGTCTAGGAGAAGGGAGGGGGCGCCCCAGAGGAGGGGGAGGGAATGACCCCCCACCCCCCCCCACTCAGGGTCTAGGAGAGAGGGGAGGGGGTCTAGGAGAAGGGAGGGGGCGCCCCAGAGGAGGGGGAGGGAATGACCCCCCACCCCCCCCCACTCAGGGTCTAGGAGAGAGGGGAGGGGGAGACTCAAGGGAGAGGGAGGGAGAGACCCCCCCACCAGGGTCTAGGAGAAGGGAGGGGGCACCCCGGGGAGGGAATGACACCCCCCCCACTCAGGGTCTAGGGGGGGAACGACCCCCCCACTTCAGGGTCTAGGACACAGGTCGGCAACCTGCGGCTCCGGAGCCGCATGCGGCTCTTTGAGCCTTCCCCTGTGGCTCCCAGCCTCCTCTGCCTTTGCAGAGACAGAGACAGAGAGAGGCAATTGCGCGTCCCTGCTTCTCTCTCTTTCTCTGTGTGTGTGTTTGTGTTTTTGTGTGTGTGTGTGTGTGTGTGTGTGTGTGTGTCTGTGTGTATATGTAAAAGAGAGTGCACTCACAGTATTCTCTGAGGAGCTGAAAAACTTACTGGGCGGAGCTCCTCCCTTTGCTGCGTCTCTGCAGGAAGCAGGAAGCAGGAAGGGCAGGAGAGAGCTAGCTAGCCCAGCTAGGCTGACTCAGGAATTCTGGGAGTTGAAGTCCATGAGTCATAAAAGAGACGAGGTTGCCTACCCCTGAGCTTGTTGGACAACAGCCTGAAGCTTGCCAGGTGAGCAGCAGATAGGAGGGGGGGGGAGAAAGAGAGAGAGAGAAAGAGAGAGAGGGAGAGAGAGAGAGAGAGAGAGAGGAAAGAGAGAGAGAGAGAAAGAAAGAGAGCGAGGGAACAGGAGTGGCAGACCAAGGGCAGATAGGGAGAGAGAGAGAGACCCTTTTGACATCTAAAATGAAGATAACACTGCATATATCCTTTTTTTCCCTTTCTGTGTATGTAATTTTATTCTCTTAAAGCATTCTCTTGGTGATCATTGTTTTAATAGTATGGATATTCCCAAGAGTCATATTTTTACTTTTATTTTTAATGTGTATATATATATATACACACATATATATATATATATATATATATATATATATATATATATATTATATATATATATATATAATATATATATATATATACACATATATATATATAGGTCTTTGGTTGTTCGGGTTTTCTCCCGTGTAAAATTGGAAGTGTCAATTTTACGCGGGAGAAAACCCGAACAACCAAAGACCTATATACAAATACCCGCGAAAACCTCAGAAAACATATATATATATACACACACACACACACACACACACACACACACACACACACACACCCCTATAATAAAGGTAAAAAAGATATATGCAGTGTTATCTTCATTTTAGATATCAAAAGGGTTTTGCGGCTCCCGGTGTTTTGTTTTTGGTGGGAAACCGGTCCAAGTGGCTCTTTGAGTGTTTTGGGTTGCCTACCCCTGGTCTAGGAGAAGGGAGGGGGAGCTCCAGAGGAGGGAATGACCCCTCCACTCAGGGTCAGGGGGGAGGGAACGATCCCCCCACTTCAGGGTCTAGGACAGAAGGGAGGGGGAGGGAATGACACCCCCCCCACACACACACACACTCAAGGTCTCCAGGAGAAAGGGGAGGGGCGGTCCCGAGGGAGGGGCAGGGGCAGTGCCAGGAAAGAGGGGGAGACCTGGGGAGGGAATGACCCCCCCACTCAGGGTCTGGGAGAGAGGGGAGGGAATGATACCCCCCCCCCCCCGACTTCAGGGTCTAAGAGAGGGGAGGGGGAGCCCCAGGAGAGGGGGAGGGAATCACCCCCCCACACTCAGGGTCTAGGAAAAGAGGGGAGACCCAGGGGGAGGGAATGACACCCCTCACTTCAGGGTCTAGGAGAAGGGAGGGGAGGGGGAGGGAATGACCCCCCCAAAGGGTCTAGGAGGGGGGAATGACACCCCCCACTGAGGGTCTAGTAGAGGGGAGGGGGAGACCCGAGTGGGAGGGGGGAGGAGGGGAGAGGGAGGGAGTGACCCCCAAAAGGATCTAAGAAGGAGAGCCCCAGGGGAGGGGGAGGGAGTGACCCCCCCCAAAAGGGTCCAGGAGGGGGAGGGAATGGCACCCCCCACCTGGGGTCTAGGAGAAAGGGGAGGGGGAGACCCAAGGGAGAGAGAAGGAGGGAGGAGGGAGGGAGAGAGGAAAAGGAGGGAAGGAAGAAAGGAGGAAGGATGGAAGGGGCAGAAAAGGGAAGGAGAAAGAAACAGAGAGGAAAGGAAGAGAGAAAAAAGGGAGGAGGGAACGAAATAGCTGGAAAGGAAGAAGGAAGCGGGCAAAGAAAAGGAGGGAAGGAAGAAAGGCAGGAGAAAGGCCAGAGGAAAGCAGGCGCGAAGAAAGGAAGGAGAAAAGAAACCACACGGGAAGGGAAGAAGGAAAGAAGCAGGTCGGAGAAGAGAAAGAGAGAGACACTTCCCTTCCTTCCCAGGCTACTACCTCGGCATGTGTTTTGCGGCGCCCGAAAAACAGCTCTGCACCATCTCCCAGGCGCCCGACCCGTGGAAGACCTTCCTGGCGGGGGCCCTCCTCCTCCTGGCCCTCGCGGGCACCTTCACCTACACCTGGTCGCAGGACGGCTGGGCCCACCACCCGCTGGTCAAGACCCTGGCCACCTTCGCCCTGCCCCCCCACTCCGGCTGGCGGGCCGTGGCCGCCTCCATCAATGCCGAATTCCGCCGGATCGACAAGTTCGCCACGGGGCCCCCGGGGGCCCGGCTGATCGTGACCGACAGCTGGATCCTCAAGGTCACCACCTACTCCTTGCACGTGGCCCAGCAGCGCGACATCCAGCTGACCGTCGTGGACGCGAGACAGCAGGAGCTCTTGCCGGACGCCGGCATGCCGGCCCAGTTCCTGACCATCCGTGTGGCCAGCGCCAACCCCCACGTCAAGGCCTTCGACATCCGGTAATGGTTCGGCTCCCCGAATCCCCCCCCCAGCACTCGCACGAGTGAGTCTCCAAGTGCCCGGGATGCTTGCACGAGGGAGGCCCAGTGCTTGCACGTCCCCGGGCGCTTGCACGAGGGAGGCCCAGAGCACTCATGTGTTTCTGAGCACTTGTGAAGCTTGCACAACTATGTCTCAGTGCCTGTGATTCTTGCACGAGCGAGGCCCAGAGCACTTGCATGTCCATGGGTGCTTGCATGAGTGAGGCCCACTCGTGTATTTCTGAATGCCTGTGAAGCTTGCATGAGTAAGTGCCCGTGATGCACGAGTGAGTGCCCCAAGCACTCACACGAGTGAGGCCCAGATTTCTTGCATGAAAGAGACCACAAGCACTCACACACGAGGCCCAGAGCACTCACGTGTATTTGTCTGTGAAGCTTGCACAAGTGAGTCTCAGCGCCTGTGATTCTTGCACGAGTGAGGCCCAGAGCACACGTGTGTCCGAGCGCCTGTGATTCTTGCACGAGAGTGCCCGTGATGCACGAATGAGAGTGGTCGTGATGCGTGAGGGAGGCCCCAAGCGCTTGCATGACGGAGGCCCAGAGTCGTTGCACAAAAGCGACCACGAGCACTCACACAAGGCCCCGAGCACTTGCATAATGCCCAGAGCACTCACGTGTGTCCGAGCACCTGTGAAGCTTGCACAAGTGCATCTCAGTGCCTGTGATTCTTGCACGAGTGAGGCCCAGAGCACTTGCATGTCCATGGGTGCTTGCATGAGTGAGGCCCACTCGTGTATTTCTGAATGCCTGTGAAGCTTGCATGAGTAAGTGCCCGTGATGCACGAGTGAGTGCCCCAAGCACTCACACGAATGAGGCCCAGATTTCTTGCATGAAAGAGACCACAAGCACTCACACATGAGGCCCAGAGCACTCACGTGTATTTGTCTGTGAGGCTTGCACAAGTGAGTCTCAGCACCTGTGATTCTTGCACGAGTGAGGCCCAGAGCACGTGTGTCCGAGCGCCTGTGATTCTTGCACGAGTGGGGCCCAGAGCACACGTGTGTCCGAGCGCCTGTGATTCTTGCATGAGTGGGGCCCAGAGCACACGTGTGTCTGAGCATTTGTGAAGCTTGCACAAGAGTGCCCATGAGGCACGAATGAGAGTGGTCGTGATGCGTGAGTGAGGCCCCAAGCGCTTGCATGAGGGAGGCCCAGAGGCATTGCACAAAAGAGACCACGAGCACTCACACAAGGCCCCGAGCGCTTGCATGATGCCCAGAGCACTCACGTGTGTCCGATCACCTGTGAAGTTTGCACAAGTGTGTCTCAGTGCCTGTGATTCTTGCACGAGTGAGGCCCAGAGCACTTGCACATCCATGGGTGCCCACTCGTGTTTCTGAATGCCTGTGAAGCTTGCATGAGTAAGTGCCTGTGATGCACGAGTGATCCCCCAAGCACTTGCACGAGTTACGTCCAGAGCACTCACGTGTCCAAGTGCCTAAGCTTGCACAAGTGGGGCCCAGAGTCCTTGCACAAAAGAGACGATTAGCACTTGCAGGAGGCCCCATGCGCTTGCATGAATGAGACCCAGAGCACTCACACGTCTGAGCACCTGTGAATCATTCACGAGTGAGTCTCAGTGCCCGTAATGCTCGCACGAGTTAGGCCCCCAGCACTCGCACAAGTGAGGCCTAGAGTACTTGCACGAAAGAGAGCACTCGCACGAGGCCCCAAGCACTGACACATGTGTCCAAGCGGCCGTGAAGCTTCCAGGAGTGTCCCCGGGCATTCACGAATGAGTCCAGAGCCCTTGCACAAGTGAGTCAGTGCCCATGATGCTCGAACAAGTGGAGCCCAGAGTGCTCGCACGAGTGTGGCCGACTGCTTGCACAAAAGAGACTATAAACACTTGCACAACGCCCAGAGTAGTCAAACGTGTGTCTGAGCTCCTGTGAAGCTTGCACGAGTGCCTGTGATGCCTGGAGGCCCCAAGTGTTCGCACGAAGCCCAGGGTGTTTGCACGAAAGACCACAAGCACTTGCACGAGGCCCTGAGCACTGACACTTATCCAAGCAACCATGAAGTTTACATGAATGAGTCCCCGAGCATTTGGAAGTGAGGCCCACAGCTCTTGGACACGTGAGTCTCGCCCGTCATGCTTGCACGAGTGAGGCCCAGAGTGCTCATGTGAAAGAGACCACGAGCAGTCACATGAGGCCCCGAGCACTGACACGTGTGTCCCAAGCACCCGTGAAGCTTCCATGAGTGAGTCCCTGAGCGTTTGTGAGGTCCAGAGCCCTTGCACAAGTGAGTCTGTGCCCGTGATGCTCGCATGAGTGAGGCCCCAAGTGCTTGCACGAGTGAGGTCCAGAGTGCTTGCATCAAAGCGACCACGAGCATTTGCACGAGGCCCCGAGGGCTGACATGTGTCTGAATACCCCTGAAGCTTGCTTGTGTCCCCGATCATGCACGAGTGAGGCCCACAGCCCTTGCACAAGTGTCACAGTGCCCCTGATGCTCACCCAAGTGAGGCCCAGAGTGCTCGCGCGAAAGAGACCACGAGCATTTGCACAAGCCCCGAGCACTGACGCGTGTGCCTCGGAGCATCCGTGAAGCTTCCATGAATGAGTCCCCGAGCATTCGCGAGGAAGGCCCCGACTCCTAGTGCCCGTGATGCACGAGTGAGCTCTGGCACAACATGAGAGTGTCCCTGATGCTCGCACGAGTGAGGCCCCGAGCATTTGCAAATGAGGCCCGGAGCCCTTGCACAAGCGAGAGTGCCCATGATGCACGAACGAGGCACAGAGTGCTCGTACGAAAGACTCAACGCGCATCCGCACGAGGCCTCGGGCGTTGACCAGTGTTGTCTCCGAAGAGCCGTGCTGCTCCCGCCGGCCACTCGACGCGGCCCGCAGGTTGGGGACCCCTGCTCCAGATCTCCCTTTGGAAAGGTCCGTCCTTGTCCCACACCTGACCTCACAGCTTCGTTTTCCTCTCAGGCTCAACTCGTCGGAATATGGGGACCTGCAGGAAAAGCTCCAAGCCCCGATCCGGAACGCGGCGCAGGTGGTCATCCGTCAGAGCCTCAGCGACCTCTTCCTGGAGACCTTCAGCGCCCTGGTGGAGAGGAACCAGCCTTACCCGCTGCCCAGCAACCAGGTGAAACCTCTTCCGCTTTGGACCGGGGGAGGGATTACGGCTGGTCCCCCACTTACGACGGGTCTGCTTAGTAACCGTTCAAAGTTACCAAAAAAACCCAAGTATCCTCAGATTTCCCAGATAACAGGTAGCCCTTCGCTTACAACGGCTTCGTTTAGTGACCGAAGTTTATCAATGCTGGAAGGGAGTGAGGTATTGTATCTAAACAGACAGCAAACCCTCCTAGCACTGATGATGTTACCTGGTGGGGTCACGAAACGTCTGCAAGAAAAAACACCCAGCTCAAGGAACACCAAGGGGCCCACAGCCCTTTTTCTCTTCCTCCTCCTCCTCCCCTTCACCTCCTTCCTTCCCCCTCCTCTCATTTGGAACCTGATGAGGTTCCCTAGTTGGGTCCCGAGACGTCTGCCAGAAAACCTCCCTAACTCAGAGCACCTCTGCTGACCCCCCTCTTTCCTTCCTCCCTTCCTTCTCTCGCCCCGCAGGAGCTGCACCTGTGCATCGGCTGCATGCAGATCCAGGCCAACGTCAAGCTGCTGAAAAACTGCCGGGAGCCGCACGAGGGCGAATGCCAGCCCTGTTTCTGCTACCCCATGTGGTGCCTCCTTTGCATGGGCAAATGGTTCGCCAGCCAGCAGGATCAGCAACATCCCGAAACCTGGCTCTCCAGCCACGTGCCTTGTCCCACCTGCCGAGCCAAATTCTGCGTTTTGGACGTCTGCTTGGTGCAGTGACGGCCAAGGCGGCGAGACTCCGCAGAGACAAATCCGATCGGCTGGGCGTCTCTCGTTCCCGGGATGATCCTCGACAGGATGAAATGTTCCTACAATTCCCCCTTTTGACGGCTCGGCAATTTCTATTTCCGAAACGCGGCCCCTTTAAGAAGGGTGAACTTCAACTCCCAGAATCCCTAGCTGAGGGATTCTGGGAGTTGAAGTCCACCCTTCTTAAAGGAGGCCAAGCGTCAGAAATGCAACTCTGGGACTGCGGGTTGCGACAAGTAATATTCGCTTGTCACCGCCTAAATTGGGACAGGATTTGGAGAGTTTCCCATGCCAAATTCCCTCCCCCCCCCAAACTTTCCGATCCCAGAAATAGGAATGACGCCGATGACCACAAACTTTCTCGTTAAAAAAAAAAAAAAAAAATCCTTATCCACTCCTTGGATTGAGACCGCAATTCTTTTCCCCCTCCCAAACTTTCCAATCCCAGAAATAGGAACGACGCTGACAACGACAAACTTTCTCATTAAAAAAAGAATCCTTATCCACTCCTCGGATTGAGACCGAGTCTGCAAATCCTCTCGTAGCGGCGGCATTCAAAAGACCGATCTCCGTTCCACAGGGATAATATGTTGGACGATAAATCTAAATTATTGCAGTATTTTTTGAAGGATTTTCTCGGCAAAGGAGATGGGATTTAAGGGCCAGGAACTTCTGGGATTTTTAAAAAAAATCGCTTTTTTCCGTCTTTTTTTCCTGGAGCTGAAAATATACCCGAGAGAAAAGGATCCGACATTTGAAGTATTGCTGCACCAAAAATTAAGAATTTGGGATGATAATCTTGTTGTTTTGGGGGGAAGGCTGAATTTGGTGGTGGGTAGGAGAAAAAGGAGAACGACAATCCTTGGCAAATCTTTTTCTGACAATTTCACACTTTCCCAACTCGGGTTCACCAAATGTATTCTTCCGTCGGAAGCCATGGGGAGGCAAAAACGGAGAAGAAATTATTTTCATTAGTGAAATTGCGAGCGAGGTGAATTTGAGCATCTGTCAGTTTTGAAATGGTGATTTTACAAACGATTTTCTCTTCGTCTCTCGGGCGGGCGAGATTGATGGGTCTCAAATCTCAGCAATTGGAAAATAGGTGGACTTCGTTTCCCAGAATCCCCCAGCTGGCATTCTTTAATGAGTGGACTTCGTTTCCCAGAATCCCCCAGCCGGCGTTCTTTAATGAGTGGACTTCATTTCCCAGAATCCCTCAACCGGCATGCTTTAAGAGGGGTGGCCTTCAACTCCCAGAATCCCCCAGCCGGCATTCTTGTAACGGGTAGACTTCATTTCCCAGAATCCCCCATCTGGCAATGTTTTAAGAGGGTGGACTTGATTTCCCAGAATCCCCCCCAGCTGGCATTCTTGTAACGGGTAGACTTCATTTCCCAGAATCCCCCAGCCGGGAATGTTTTAAGAGGGTGGACTTCATTTCCCAGAATCCCTCCAGCTGGCATTCTTTAATGGGTGCACTTTATTTCCCAAAATTCGCCAGGCGGCATGCTTTAAAAGGGGAGAGAACTTCAACTCCCAGAATCCCCCAGCTGCCATTCTTTAATGGGTGGCCTTCATTTCCCAGAATTCCCCAGCCGGCCTGCTTTAAGGGGGGTGGACTTCAACTCCCCAAATTAAAGCATAGCTGGCTGGGAGATTCTGGGAGTTGATCCACCCCCTCTTAATGCATGCCGGCTGGGGGATTCTGGGAGTTGAAGTCAACCCTTCTTAATGCATGCCGGCTGGGGGATTCTGGGAGTTGAAGTCCACCCCTCCTCAAGTGCCAAGGTTAAGACAGAACATCCCAATATCTCCAGCTAAGAAAAACATGCATTTTTTAAGGCATCTTCCCTCTTGTGAGCTTCCAAAATGTGTCCCCCCCCCCAAAGCATCCCTACACCTTTAAATTGATTTTCAATCGTTAAATCTCCGTTTGTTTCATTCATAAGATCCCCCCAATGATCTCTTAATGGCGATTGCAACGTTCCGGGGGGGGGGGGTCCTGCATCTCCTTTTTTCATGACCCCCTCCCAAATAAAGAAGCCGTGCTTTGGACAGGGGTGCCACCTCCCCATTCCGTAAACTTTTAAATATTTATTCAGACTTTTATCGGCATTTTGCACCCCTCGTGCGAATTTACAATATTTTTTTTTTTAAAAAAACACGGGATTGTCGGTCAGAGCAAATTTAAGATTCCTTTTGTCCATCCCGTCACGGGTTCCTTGCCCCCGTTAACGAAGCCGGCGGTATCTTTTCCAATATTCTCGCAAGCCAGAATGGTTGCATCCGTTCGCCGAGTCAGATGAGGACGACGACTTAAGCAAAGTTAATTTTTATTCACTCCAACGTATCTTGAACTCGCCACCGGTCCGGATGAGCCACAGCAAGGAAATGCGTTGTGGGTGTTTGCAAACGCAGCCGCTTACGTGAAAACTTGCACCTTAGCTGACACACCTAGGTTTCCCAAGGTGTGTGTGGGACTTTCAATTCCCAGAATTCCCCAGTCACCAGCCGGTGAGAATTCTGGGTAAGTCTAGAAGTAAATCAATCCTTCACTGGTGGGTGTTTTTTTAAAATGTTTTTTTTTCAATTGCTCTTAAATCTTTGGGTGATTTACTCAGTAGAAAAGGGAGATTTTTAACTGAAAAAAGAAGCGAAAGATAAGCAACTTATTAAAAACAATTAGAAATTAAACATTCCAGTTGAGAAATACCCGGAAAAGCATTATCCAGTATTATATTGATGACCGGAAGGAATCCTGTTTTGTTTCAACCTTCCTATGTGGAATCTGCCAAATAAAAATTTGCCACGTTGTGAGTTCAAAACCCTTCTTGTCCGTTTTCTTTGATTCCTCCGGATTTGGCGTCCCGTTACTGACTTCAAATACGTTTACGCAGGTAGTCCTTGACTTAACAGCCACAGCCTGAAATTGCCGTCGCTAAGCGAGACGATGGTTCCATGAGCTTTGCGCCCCTCTTTGGCGACCTTTCTTGCTGCGCGCGTTCAGCGACTCCCTGCCGTTGTTCGGTTTGCAACGCTGTCATTTCCCTGTTGGAAAGTCACCAAAAGGATCAGGTGAAGCTGGGATGCTGCGACCGCCATAAAGAGCCCGATCGTGTGACACACGGGGCTGCTGCAATGGTCACAAGTGTGAAAGTCCCTGTGAGTTAAAAAGGAGGAGGTGGGAGGAGGAAAGTAGCCGAGGCCCTGCTGATCGGACCTCCATTGCATTCAACGCTGTTGCAACTTCAAACGGTCACCAAATGAACTCCTGTAAGCTGAGGACGACAGCTGCTTTAGTAAGGCAAGATTCTGTCTACAGACGAGGCGCAATAAAGGAACATTTCAAGGGCGAGGACTCGTAAATTTAACTTTTTTCCGTCGCCGTTTAGAATTTCGAACGGTTGCTAAACAGTCGTTAAGTTGAGAAGTATCTGAATTTCTTGTAAGCAATTCTGTACGGCTCCCAACCGTCAGAGGTTCCTAAAGCAGAATCAACTATTGGCAAATAGGTCATGATGTGCTGCCCGTCACACATACAATTAACTCTGGTTTAGTGAGTTTATTAGTATTCCCCAGAAATTCACCCAAAACCCAGAACTGTCCCAATCTGAGCCCAGCCGCAAATAGACCAAGGTTAGTCCACCAAGCAAGAAAAGTTCCGAGTCTCCAACGCAGGATTCCAAACACGGCATCAATCCAGAGTGAAGTAGGAATCACGAGCTCACAGGGCAAGAAAAGTTCTGAGTGTCCGACGCAGGATTCCAAACACGGCATCAATCCAGAGTGAAGCAGGAATCATGACAAGAGCTCACGGGGCGAGAAAAGTTCTGAGTGTCCGACGCAGGATTCCAAACACGGCGTCAATCCAGAGTGAAGCAGGAATCACGACGAGAGTTCAAGGGGCAAAAAAGTTCCGAGGCACCGTCACACGATTCCAAACACGGTGTCAATCCAGATTGAAGCAGGAATCACGATGAGAGCTCATGGGACAAGAAAAGTTCTGAGTGTCTGACGCAGGATTCTAAACACGGCGTCAATCTAGAGTGAAGCAGGAATCACGACGAGAGCTCACGGGGCGAGAAAAGTTCTGAGTGTCCGACGCAGGATTCCAAACAAGGCGTCAATCCAGAGTGAAGCAGGAATCACGACGAGAGTTCAAGGGGCAAAATAGTTCCGAGTCACCGACGCACGATTCCAAACACGGCATCAATCCAGAGTGAAGCAGGAATGAAAGCGCTTATGGAGCAATAAAAGTTCCAAGTCCTGGACATATGATTCCAAACACAGCATCAATGCAGAGTGAAACACCAGAGCTCATGAGGCAAGTTCTGAGTCTCCAATGCACGATTCAAAACACGGCGTCAATCCAGAGTGAAGCAGGAATCGCGACGAGCACTCACGGTGCGAGAAAAGTTCAGAGTCTCCGACGCATGATTCCAAAGACGGCGTCAATCCAGAGTGAAGTAGGAATCACGAGCTCATGGAGCAAGAAAAGTTCCGAGTGTCCGACGCAGGATTCCAAACACGGCGTCAATCCAGAGTGAAGCAGGAATCACGACGAGAGCTCATGGGACGAGAAAAGTTCTGAGTGTCTGACGCAGGATTCCAAACTCGTCGTCAATCCAGAGTGACACAGGAATCATGACGATTGCTCAAGGGGCAAGAAAAGTTCCAAGTCTCCGACGCAGGATTCCGAACACGGTGTCAATCCAGAGTGAAGCAGGAATCACGAGAGCTCAAGGGGCAAGAAAAGTTCCGAGGTGTGGCTGCCTAATGCCTTCTCCTTTGCCTTTGGAGCCGCCCCGTTGCAGTCCTTTGTCCGATTCTCGTTGCCTGTCGGCGTTTGCGAGTGTCTGCGATGTCCAAGCCTTCCTCTGACTGACGGCACTCCAGGCCCCTCCTCCTCCTCCTCGGATTCCCCAGACTCATCCGTCGGATCCACAGGCTGGCGAGGAATCACAACACGAGTAGTCTGGCTGACCTTCTCTGCTCCTGCCTTTCCTCTGCCCTGCGTGTTGTCGGATGAGGAGCAGAAGTCAACTCCTCCTCCTCTTCTTCGCTGGCTGTCGGCCATGTTAAGCTTTCCCCAGCTGGAGCCTCCACCAAATCCCATCCGGCAGCCGTTCAGAGCCATCAATCAACAGCCGTTCAGAGCTGTCAATCAACTCAGTTCTTGACCGAGCGGTTCATCCGAGGAGTCGTTCAAGGGAAGACATTGCACCGACGAGAACTTAAAGACAGCACATGATCTACTAATTTAAAAAGGTTTTATTGCTCTTACAATCTCTTACAATCGTGGCTATTTTACAAACTGCGGGAACGGGGGCGTCGTCACGAAGACGTCGCCTCCGTCCGGAAAAAGAACAGAAAAAAAAAAGAAAAAATATACTGGAATACATCTGTTCTTAATCGAACCTTTACAGCTACATGATAAACCGCGTCATCCCGATTGTTACTGAAACAACAGAGGTGTTAAAAGAGATTTTTTTTCCTCCACCAACTATCGTTTTAGTTCCTTTCATAAATACATTATATACCGTGGTTATTAACATAGGTTTGACTACTTCTATTATCCTCTCATTGTTCCCGTAAAATGCTTACGACCTTGTCTTTGACTTATGACCATAATCGTCTGCGGAATTCCGGAAAATTGGAGACACCATAGAAATCAAAATAAAATCAAACGTTCCCCAGGTTAAGCCAAGGGCAGCCGTTTTAAGGTGACGACGGTTGAGCGAACGCGGGACGGTCGTTAAGCGAATCGTGCGGTGGTTTAAGCGCATCTGGCTTTCCCGACATTTGGACCCCGCTCGTCAGAGGATCGGAAAAGGGGAATCGCACGCCAGCGGCGTCCGTCGCAAACACACACCAGTTGCGAAGTGCCTGAATTTTGAGACGAGACGGTCCACCAAGTGGGAAAAGTCGTCGTGAAGTCGCTTGTTTCACCGCCGTCGTAACTTCAGCCACTAAATGAACGGTTGTTAAGTCGAGGGCTGCTTGTGTAGCTAGCGTCCGTTCGGGCAGTGACTTTACAAGACACATCCTGACAGTGAGAACAATTAACCAGTGGAACAACTTGCCACCAGGAAGCGGTGAATGCTCCAACACTGGAAGTTTTGATTGTTGCTAATTAACAGGCTTGTAACACACCCGGTCAAATTGGTTCTTTATTCTGGGCATTGTCTTCTCCTGCTGAGGGAGGTGTGTTTGTGTGTGCCTGGGGACACACTCACACACCCACACACCCCCTTGTATCCACAGCCATCTTTGCTGGGTATCAAAAGGAAGAGCTGAGATAACCACTCACACAGTTGGTGGCCGCGAATGGATGCTGCTCACAGTTGTGCACTCATAATTTTTTTCCACGTTGTGTAGCCATCCGGATGCTGTGACGGTCCTAAGCGTAAGGACTGGTCGTACGTGTGAGGACCGGTCTTTAAAGTCACTTTTTTTCCAGTGCCACCATAACTTCAAATTGTCGGTAAACAAAAGGTAAGCCGAGGACTGCTTGAATGTTTTTTTTTTTTAAAAAAGATTTTAATTCTTTCATTTCGCAAGAGAAGATCGAAATGGAACTTGTGAAAGTTTACATTCTTCCTGGGGATGGAGAGCTTTTGTCGTCGGCGATACAAGTCGACGATAAATTTTTTAGGAAATTCAAATCCAGACGTTCCGGCAAAAATGCAAAATATTTTGGGCTCAGTCCGTCCTGCGGATCTTCAAAAAAACAAACAAAACCTCCACATTCTTGTGTTAATCAGTCACACAACATGAACCAACAACACTATGGAGGGTTGCCTCCAGTTCAGGGTTTTCTCAACTGTGGGAACTGGAAAATGTGCAGGGTTGAGTTCCCAGAATTGTCCAGCTAGCATGCCTGGACTTCCGACTCCCAGAATTCCCTGTGTGGGCTGAGGAATGCTGGGAATCGGAGTCTGTACAGTTTCAAATTGCCAAGGTCTAGAAAACGCCGTGGCACATTAAACGGTGTGGAGGATGAACAAGTCGACAAACGGTTTAGGCAATGTTGAGGTAGCACAAAACCTTTTCGTCCCGTTCTCCAGTCCCCACAAACGACCGAACGAGAAATGTACAGTTTCAGCAGTTCATTTACTGACCGTTTGAAGTTACGACGGCATTAAAAAAAAGCCGCTTTTGACCCTTTCCACGCTTATCAGCCTTACAGCATCCTCATGGTCATGTGATCAACATCCAGATGTTTGGCAACTGGCACTTATGACGGTTCAAGTGTTCCCAGCGTTCACGTGATCCTCTTTTGCGACCGTCTGATGAGTGAAGTCAATGGGAAAGCTGGAATCGCTTAAGGACCAGGTGACTTAACAACGGCCGTGATTCGCTTAACAACTGTGGGAAGAAAGGTCATAAACTGGGGCAAAGCTCACTTAACAAATGTCTCGCTTAACAACAGAAACTTGGGGGCGGAGTTGTCATAAATCAAGGACTACCTGTAGCAAGATAAGACAATCGTTTGAAGATGGTCCTAATGTTCTTCTAGCACGTTTGAACCAAGCTTGGAACAGTAGCTCTTCTCACAAAGCTGGGATATATCTGGAGCCTAAGAACGCAACACAACGCACCACAAGTGGCGGACTGTGAGTCGGAAGGTGACAAGCGAGGCAGACCATAGAAACACAGAATGTCTCCGCAACTTCTGTTAACCAGGTTACGTCACGAGAGAATCCCCGTTTTGAGGGAACTGAATCATCAATGGTCGTGTGGTACACAAACGCCGCAATGACTGACTTCGCACAGCCAGCCCTGTGATGGTTAGGGAAGTGGACTCATGAAAGCAGCAAGGTCAGACTGGCAAACTATGGTAGGCCGATTCTGTTTACGGCTGAAGGTGGACTTTCCTTGGCTGTGGAGGTCGTCTCCTCGCTCTAGCCCGTCCTGATGCAAATAATACAACTGAGCAGTGGGCATTGCCATTTTTTTTTGTGTGATGAATGGAGAGATGGGAAGAGGTTGCGTCTTCGGTGGATCAAAAAGGCCGGGAAACTCGAACCGGTTCCTCCAAGACCATCGGCCCTTTGACTCAACTAAGAAGCGAAGAAGCAGATCTTCTTATTAAAGTTTACAAACGGGGGCAGTGGATCAGATTGAGTTGAGAGCGAGGACTCGGTGCTGGTGGGGAGTTCATGAAAGCAGCCACATCGCAACAACCCAACAGTGTCCTGGAGCTCATTCGAGCAGCTGCATCTCAACGTCCGGCATGGGTTTGGAGCTTATTAAAGCAGCGATGTCTCACTAACCAGGCACTGACTGGAAGCTCGTGAGAACAACTACATCTCAACATCCCAGCACTGGTTGGAAGCTCATGAAATCCGCTACATCTGAACAACCCATCACTGATTTGCAGCATGTTAAATAGCTACATCTCAACACCCAAGAAGGCTTTAATGCTCATTAAGCCACCTCCATCTCCACAACCCAGGACTGCTTTGAAGCTCATAAAAGCAGCCATATTGCAAAAACCCGGCACTAATTCGAAGCTCATCAAAGCAGCTACATCTCAAGAACCAATCACTAGTTCGAAGCTCATCAAAGCAGCTACACCTCAGCAACTCAGCAATATTTCAAAGCTCATCAAAGCAGCTACCTCAACAACCCATCACTGCTTTGAGGCTCATCAAAACAGCTACATCTCAAGAACCCATCAACTAGTTCGAAGCTCATCAAAGCAGCTACATCTCAAGAACCAATCACTAGCTCGAAGCTCATCAAAGCAGCTACATCTCAACTCAGCAATAGTTCAAAGCTCATCAAAGCAGCTACCTCAACAACCCATCACTGCTTTGAAGCTCATCAAAGCAGCTACATCTCAACAACCCATCAACTAGTCCGAAGCTCATCAAAGCAGCTACGTCTCAACAACCCATCACTGCTTTGAAGCTCATAAAAACAGTTACATCTCAATTCAGCAATAGTTCAAAGCACATCAAAGCAGCTACATCTCAACTCAGCAATAGTTTGAAGCTCATCAAAGCAGCTACATCTCAACTCAGCAATAGTTCAAAGCTCATTAAAGCAGCTACCAAGCAACAACCCACCACTGCTTTGAAGCTCATCAAAGCAGCTACATCTCAACAACCCAATCACCGCTTTTAAGCTAATGAAAGCAGCGACATCTCGATAACCCAATACTAGTTCAAAGCTGCTACATCTCAACAACTCAGCACTGCTTTGAAGTTCATCAAAGCAGCTACACACTCAACAACTCAGCAACAGTTCAAAGCTCATCAAAGCAGCTACCTCAACAACCTACCACTGTTTTGAAGCTCATCAAAGCAGCAACACCTCAGCAACTCAGCAACAGTTCAAAGCTCACCGAAGCAGCTACATCTCAACTTAGCAATAGTTCAAAGCTCATCGAAGCAGCTACGTCTCAACAACCCATCCCTGCTTTGAAGCTCATCAAAGTGGCTACATCTCGACAACCCAATCCTAGTTCAAAGCTGCTACATCTTAAGAATTCAGCACTGCTCTGAAGCTCACCAAAGCAGCTACCTCTCAACAACCCCTCACTGCTTTGAAGCTGACAAAAGCAGCTACCTCTCTTACTGGGACCGTGCGACCTCTCCTTTCCAGTTTGCCTCCAAAACTTTGCACATTCTTAACGGGTATTTAATACAACGAAGTACATCTTCCTCGCAAGAACCCAGAGAGCTCAAAGCAACAAGCCGCGCGTAGGTGGAAAGTACAAAGATAGGAATGGGCTGATTTCCGCTTTCCGCCCCTGGCGAGCCAAACCTTCGGTTGTGTAATCCATCCGAAACAACAGGAAGGCCTTTGCTATCTTATCTCGCGACGCGCGCCACCATGACTGTACGAGGGCAGAACTGATAATACTTGCTAAAACGGGTAGGATGAAAACTCACAGCTGGACTCGTTCCTGTCAGATCGCTGGCAGAGATGGGAAGGATAATGCCTTCCTCAAACGCCGGTCAGGAAGACGTTGGGACAGCACTTTTTCCAACTCACAAACTGCGTTCAGCGGCCTCCGCTTTCCGCAGCTCGCGAAAGCCGGTGCTTCTTAATAAAAAAAAAAAAGGGGGCTACCAGATTCCTTATTTCGAACACGGCTCTCCTCCTACACATTCTACAATTAACAGTAAGCTTTTAGGAAACAAGAGGGCCCCCAGGAAACAAACCCAAGAAATACTGAGAGCGTATTTGTAGCTCAGGGAATGGACTGTGGTGTCCTTGGTGCTCTCCGAGCTGGCTGGCTTTCTCGCAGACGTTTCACGACCCAACTAGGGAACGTCAACAATGCTACAAGGGAGTTGGGTGTGCAGACAGGAGGAGAACGATGACTGCGGGATCCTCGGTGCTCTCTTTGCCAACACTTCACGACCCAAGTAGGGAACATCGTCAGCGCTAGAACGGCGTAGGATTTGTGGAGAAGAAGAGGAGGAGGACGACGATTGTGGGGTCCTTGGTGCTCTCTGAGCTGGGTGGGTTTTCTCGCAGACGTTTCATGACCCAACTAGGGAACGTCAACAATGCTACAAGGGAGTTGGGTGTGCAGAGAGAAGGAGGACGACGACGGTGAGGTCCTTGGTGCTCCCTTTCTTCTCAAACATTTCAGAACCCAACTACGGAATATAATCAGGGCTAGAACGGAGTAAGATTTGTGGGGAGGAGGAGAAGAAAGGACTGTGGGGTCTTCGCAAACATTTCACGACCCAACTAAGGAACGACATCAGTGCCAAAAGGGACTGTATATAAACAGAGAGTGACCCCCCCTTTCCTTCTACCACTGATGTTGTTCCCTAGTTGGGTCACGAAACGTCTGGGAGAGAAAATTGCCAAGCCCAAGTAAGAAAGAGAGATGGAGTAGCAGTAAGGCCAAGCAGGGTTACTCCGGCAAGGCCACTTCAGGCGGAGAACTCGCTCTCGTGACCCTCGACCGTGCTGTTAGACAGAAGCTTTACGACACACCGGAGCTTTCTTCGTCTTGTCCCACGTCAGCGACAACCTTGCCATACCTTCGCTCCACCTCTCTTCACCTGTCGGCGCAGGTGGCCTTTTGCTAACCAGAAGCTCCGCCCCCTCCAAACCCTCCTCCCTGCGTTGTGCACGGCAAGGAAAAAGCAATGGATCGAGCAAATCAAGGGGGACGACTCGGAGGGGACACGGAAGATCCAGCTAAAAGGACCACGTAGTAAGAAGCAAGGCTGAGCCCCTGGATTGAGTAGATACGTGCACACCTGGTGAACCCACCTCCCTCGACCCAATTCCCCAACACCCCGGAATCCACAGCTTCAGACTGTTTATTTCAAGCGCCTCCACGCCAAAAGTCACAGCAGCGCGGCAACTCGAATCCCATTCGCCTGCAGTTCCACCGACGACGCGCTAGGATCCAGCAGCCGACGAGCAGCACCTCATCTTAAATATTAAATACTTTCCTTTTAGCCATACGTGATTTTGTCGAGAACGTCCGTGAAACAGTCCGGGGGAATTCCTCGACGGAGCTATCTCCCCGCCGAGTGAGACATTCCCGCGGGGAAGCGAGGAAGCCGACGAACCGCACAGGCGGCGGCCTCAGGAACGAGACGCTCTGCTCTCCTTCCTCACCAGGCGACCTCGACGTCGTCGCCGAGTTTCGGTTTTTCGTTTTTGTCTTTTTTTTTTTAATAAAAAAAGCTATCTTTCGGTTTTAGTCGAGAAATAGAAAATCCGCCGGGAACCCAAAGAAAAAAAAGCCCTTCGGGAACTTTTGCGGGCTGTTTCCCGCTGCTTCTTAAAGCAGCGAGTCGTCCGTGCAGCCGCCTTCCAGCCCGTAACGGAACTCCTGCAGGTTGGAGACGCCGTAGAAATGGACGAAGGCCGCTGCCACCACCAGGACGTGGAAAATCTGATGGGACTGGAACTGCAGAAAGACAAAAAAAAAAAGGCGATTCGAGATTGGGAGAGAAGCAACACAACCCGGACGCCGGTTTCGGTCGAACGGAATAGTCTGGGTTTACCGTATCCTGCCTACTCCTCAATCCGACGTCATAGTTGGACGCGGGTTAGGTTAGGATCGATGTCCGGAGTGACTAGCATCTTTTTTTAGGCTGCGGACACCATTAAATTGGGGTCCGGAGTGGGGGGAAAGACGGGGTGGTTGCAGTGTCCTGGGGTCACGTAATCAAAATTCAGACGCTTAGCAAACGACTCGTATTTACGACGGTCGCAGCGTCCCGGGGTCACATGATCAAAATTCAGAGGCTTGGCAACCGATTTGTATTTATGACGGTTGTAGTGTCCCGGGATCACGTGATCAAAATTCAGACGCGTAGCAACCGACTCGTATTTACGACGGTTGCAGCGTCCCAGGATCACGTGATCAAAATTTGGACGCTTAGCCACCGATTCGTAGTTACAACGGTCACAGCGTCCCTGGATCACATAATCCAAATTCAGACGCTTAGCAAACGACTCATATTTATGACGGTCGCAGCATCCCGGGGTCAGGTGATCGAAATTCAGATGCTCGGCCGCCGACTCGTAGTTACAACGGTCGCAGCGTCCCGGGGTCGCGTGATCCAAATTCAGATGCTTAGCAAACGACTCGTATTTACGACGGTCGCAGCGTCCCGGGGTCAGGTGATCGAAATTCAGATGCTCGTCCACCGACTCGTAGTTACAACGGTTGCAGCATTCCGGGGTCACGTGATCCAAATTCAGACATTTGGCAACCCGACTCGGCAAGTTGAAGACTATGGGTTTTCTACCCGCAAGGACTTATCTAGATGGGTTTGGACTACAAATCCCATCACTGCCTCCTCCATGCCTTGAAAATCTTAGCCCGAAAGAAACTCACCCAAATGTCAAACTTTCCCGGGAAGAATCTTTCGGGAATACGCGCGGCGTAGAGGCCGGCTCCAGTGATGTACATCACGGCCATCAGGAAGAACCATCCCATCTGCCCCACCGAGGTGGCCTTGGTGAAGCCCTCCGCGATGGTGAAGTGCATTGTGGGTACAACGCCGCTCAGGCCCAGCCCGAGGAAGACTCCTAAGAGAGAAATGAGACGCCCGTCAGCATCCCGGCAAGGCCTCCCCTCTTAAAGCATCCTGGCTGGGGGATTCTGGGAGTGGAAGTCCTCCCTTTGTAAAGCATGCCGACTGGGGGATTCTGGGAGTGGAAGTCTAATCCTCTTAAAACATGCCGGCTGGGGGATTCTGGGAGTTGGTCCTCCCCTCTTAAAGCAGGCTGACTGGGGGATTCTGGGAGTGGAAGTCCTCCCCTCTTAAAGCGTGCCAGCTGGGGGATTCTGGGAGTCGGAGTCCACTCCTCTTAAAGCATGCTGGCTGGGGGATTCTGGGAGTCGAAGTTGAAGACTTTCCCCTTCTCCCATGCCAAAGCCTCCCTTGACGCAAAGCCTTGGTTTCCTTCCGTCTTCCGGAACAAATACCAGAATTCCCCAGCACCCTGACTATTGCCGAGGATGTTGGGAAATGGAAGAAGGCCTGAGCAGGGGGTTGGACTAGATGACCTCCAAGGTCCCTTCCCAACATCACCATCATCGTTATTCATTACACATGAACTTCAGTCAGTTGAATGTTCAAATAATAATATTATCTTTAATTCATTAAACATGAACCTCAGTCAACTGAATGCTGAAATATTATCGTTTATTCATTAAACATGAATCTCAGTCAATTGAGCATTCAAATAATTATTGTTATTATCTTTTATTCATTAAACATGAACCTCAATTGAACATTCAAAAAATATTATTATTTATTCATTAAACATGAACCTCAGTCAACTGAACATTCAAATAATATCGTTTATTCATTAAACATGAACCTCAGTCAATTGAACATTCAAATAATAATAATATCGTTTATTCATTAAACATGAACCTCAGTCAATTGAACATTCAAATAATTATTATCTTTTATTCATTAAACATGAACCTCAACTGAATGTTCAAATAATATTATTATCTTTTATTCATTAAACATGAACCTCAATTGAATGTTCAAATATTATTATTAACTTTTATTCATTAAACATGAACCTCAGTCAATTGAACATTCAAATAGGATCGTTTATTCATTAAATATGAACCTGTCAATTGAAAATTCAATAATTATTATCTTTTATTCATTAAACATGAACCTCAGTCAATTGAACATTAAAATAATAATCTTTTATTCATTAAACATGAACCTCAGTCAACTGAACATTCAAATAATTATTATATTTTATTCATTAAACATGAACCTCAATTGAATGTTCAAATAATATTATTATTATTAACTTTTATTCATTAAACATGAACCTCAGTCAATTGAACATTCAAATAATAATAATATTGTTTATTCATTAAACAAGAACCTCAGTCAATTGGACATTCAAATAATAATGATATTATTGTTTATTCATTAAACATGAACCTCAGTCAATTGAATATTCAAATATATTATTATATTTATTATTAAACATGAACTTCAGTAGTAGTAGTAATAATAATAGTAGTAATAGTAATAATAATAATAATAGTAATAGTAATAATAAAAATTATTTCTCCCGAGTGCCAGAAAAATCCCGTCCGTACCTGCTCGGGTCTGCCTATGCTTGGGGGTGGCGAAGCGGTCCCACTGAGCGACGATAATGGCGGAGATGCCCAGAACGCAGACGATGGACAGATAAATGAGTCGTGGCTGGGGAGAGCAGTAGAAGGAGTAGTAGAGCCATGGTACAAAGCTCCCCATAATTAACAGGGCGATTCCAGAATAATCCAACCTGGGCAGCCGACACCGAAAGGAGAGAGAGCGTCGTCAAAAAACACAGGAAGTTCTCGACTTACGACATTACCTGTTTAATGACCGTTGGCTTGTAAGCAACACGAGAAGCTCCCACGGTACTGAACAAAGAGACTTGATCACCGGTGCTCAGACTTACGACCGTCTGAGTCACGTGATCCAAATTCAGACGCTCGGCAACCGACTCGTATTTACGACGGTCGCAGCGTCCCGGGGTCACGTCATCCAAATTCAGACGCTGGGCAACTGACTCATATTTACGACGGCTGCAGCGTCCCCCAGTTACGTTATCAAAATTGGGACGCTTGGCAACTGACTCACAGTTATGACGGATTCTCTTAACTACCTGTGACTCACTTAACGACTACTGGAGATTGGGTGAACAGCTGGGGCAGAAGATATGCCTTGTAAAATTTCACAATCGCTTTGCTGATCAACGGAAACTCGGGGTCACGAGTCAAGGATTATGAAGATGAATTGGCCGGTCCTCACACTTACGACCGTCACAGCATTGCTCCGGTCGCGCGATTCAAAATTTGGCTGCTTGCCAACCGGCGTGCATTTGTACAGGGAGGCCCTTGACCAAGGACCATTATCGGGGTTCCAAAATCTCCGTTGCAAAGTCAGACGGTCGTTCACTGAGATTTGTCCCTGTTTTACGACCTTAAGTGAAATGCGGCAGCTGTTAAAGTAGTCACAGGTTTGTTGAAACGTATCGGTCAGGAGTTCGCAACAGGGGATCACACGACCCTGCGACCGTCATTAAATAGGAATTAGGGGCCAAGCATCGGAATGTCAATCACCTGACCCCAGGGATGCGGCGACGGTCGTAAGGGTGAAACACGCTCCCAGGTTCCTTTTCTTTTCAGTGATGTAACTTCAGATGGTCAGTAAAGGAGCTGTTGTTAATTCGAGGACTACCTTGACTTAGAAACATTCATTTAGTAACCGAACGTAGTCACTAAAGCTTGAGCAGGGGGTTGGACTAGATGACCTCCAAGGTCCCTTCCAACTCTGTCATTTCATGATTCTGTTAGGGTCTCCTGCTTGAGCAAGGGGTTGGACTAGATGACCTCTGAGGTCCCGTCCATCTCCATGAGTCTATGATTCTGTAAGGATCTCCTACTTGAGCAGGGGGTCGGACTAGATGACCTCCAAGGTCCCTTCCAACTCTGTGATTCTATAAGAATCTCCTGCTTGGGCAGGGGGTTGGACTAGATGACCTCTGAGGTGCCGTCCGTCTCCACGCGTCTATGATTCTGCAAGGGTCTCCTGCTCGAGCGGGGTGTGTGTGTGGACTAGATGATCTCTGAGGTCCCTTGCCCCTCTGTCATCCTATGATTCTGTAAGGGTCGCCCGCTGGAGCAGGGGGTTGGACTGGATGACCTCTGAGGTCCCGTCCGTCTCCACGAGTCTCTTGATTCCGTGAGGGTCGCCCGCTGGAGCAGGGGGGGTTGGACTAGATGACCTCCCGGGGGCTCCCTTCACCCACTCTTGTCGTCCTATGCCTCTCAGGGTGGAAGAACCGCTCCCAACGTCCCTTTCGGTTCCCAGTTCGGACGTCCACCCAAAGTCCCTTTCGTCCCGGCAATGTCGTCCCTCGGAACGGCCCCCCCCTCCACGCGCTGTTGTAAGTCGAGGACACCCCCCCAGACAACCGGTTACGGCAGTGGTTCTCCACCTGTGGTTCGGGACCCCATTTGGGATCGAACAACCATTTCACGGGGGTCGCCAAACAACGCCGTCCGCCATTCCCCCCCCCCTTTTCCTTAGCTGTGCTACTCCCTTTTATTCTATTGGCTTTGGAAAGCCAATAGAATAGACTCTCTTGAATAGACTCTAATTCGATTGGCTTTCAAAAGCCCATAGGAATTGCCCAGGCTGTCTCTGCCCTGCTGAGCCCGCCAAAAGTCCCAGTCTGCCAACGGTGCTGCACCCGTTGAGTAGTCCTCGACTTACGACCGGTTGAGTAGTCCTCGACTTACGACCAGTTGGGGATCGCGGCATTAAAAAGGTTGAGAACCATTGAGATAGACTGACACAGACAGATAAATAATCTCAGTCTCTTTCTCTCTCTCTCCCTCTAAATTTCTGTCTTTCTCTCCCTTCGTCTGTTTCTCTGCCTCTCTCTCTTTCTTTCTCTCTCCCTCCCTCTCTCTCTCTCTCTCGCTCTTCTCTAGCTCTGTCCTTTTCTCTGTCTGTCTCTCTCTCTCTCTTTTTTCTTCTTTTTCTCTGTCTCTCTCTTTCTGTCTCTCTCTCTGTTAACTTTCTCTCTCGCTCCCTCCTTCCTATCTATCTATCTATCTATCTATCTATCTATCTATCTATCTATCTATCTAATCTTATCTTTATCCATCTTTTATCAAATCCATCCATATCTATCTATCTGTCTGTCTATCTATCTATCTTATCTCTATCCATCTTTTATCTAATCCAGTGGTTCTCAACCTGTGGGTCGGGACCCCATTTGGGGTTGAACAACCATTTCACGGGGGTCGCCAAACAACGCAGCCCGCCATTTTTTCCCCCCTTTTCCTTAGCTGTGCTACTCCCTTTTATTCTATTGGCTTTTGAAAGCCAATAGAATAGATTCTCTTGAATAGAGTCTAATTCTATTGGCTTTCCAAAGCCAATAGGAATGGTCCAGGCTGTCTCTGCCCTGCTGAGCCCGCCAAAAGTCCCATTCTGCCAACGGGGCTGCACCCGTTGAGTAGTCCTCGACTTACGACCGGTTGAGTAGTCCTCGACCTACGACCGGTTGGGGAGGGGTCGTGGCATTAAAAAGTTTGAGAACCACAGGGTTACGGGGAAGGCTCCCCCCCGCAACTCACTTGGAGAACGTCCGCGAGACCTTCTCCGAATGGCAGTAGACGGTGTGGAAGAGCCAGGAGAAGCTGAGACATAGCACGGCGCCGAGGAAGAACATCCCGAAGACCACCTTCTCCTGCAGGGGCGCCAGGAAGTACATGTTGGGGCGCAGCATCGTCAGGACCCCCAGGGCCAGGAAGAGCACGAAGCCTGTCGGGGAAGGGGACACAGGGAGGGTCAGTGACGAGAGACTCTGGGCCAATCAGCAGGCGACGGGGAGTTCTAGTCCTGCCTTAGGCATGGAAGCCGGCTGGCTGACTTTGGGCCAATCACCAGGAGACGGTGAGTTCTAGTCCCACCTTAGGCGTGAAAGACAGTTGGGTTCCTTTGGGCCAATCACCCAGAGATGGTGAGTTGTAGTCCCGCCTTAGGCATAAAAACCGGCTGCGTGAATTTGGGCCAATCACCAGGAGACGGTGAGTTCTAGTCCCGCCTTAGGCATGAAAGCCAGCTGGGTGACTTTGGGCCAATCACCAGGAGACGGGGAGTTCTAGTCCCGCCTTAGACACCAAAGTGGGCCAATTGACTTTGGGCCAATCAGCAGGAGACGGGGAGTTCTAGTCCCGCCTTAGGCCTGAAAACCGACTGGGTGACTTTGGGCCAATCACCAGGAGACGGGGAGTTCTAGTTCCACATTAGGCATAACAGCCACCTGGTTGACTTTGGGCCAATCAGGAAAGAGTGATTTCTAGTTTCACCATAGACATGACAGCCAGCTGGGTGACTGTGGGCCAATCAGGAAATGGTGAGTTGTGTTTCCCATTCCCTGACAGCTGGGTGACTTTAGGCCAATCACCAGGAGACTGGGAGTTCTAGTTCCGCCTTAGGCATAAAAGCCGGTTGGGTGACTTTGGTCCAATCACCAGGAGAGGGTGAGTTCTAATCCCGCTTTAGGCATGAAAACCGGCTGTGTGAATTTGGGCAAATCACCCGGAGACAGTGAGTTCTAGTCCCGCCTTAGGCATAAAAGCCAGGTGGACGATTTTGGCCCAATCACCAGGAGATGGTGAGTTCTAGTCCCGCCTTAGGTCTGAAAGCCGGTTGGGTGACTTTGGACCAATCACCAGGATACAGTGAGTTCTAGTCCCGCCTTAGGCCTGAAAGCCAGTTGGGTGACTTTGGGCCAATCACCAGGAGACTGGGAGTTCTAGTCCCGCCTTAGGCATAAAAGCCAGGTGGACGATTTTGGCCCAATCACCAGGAGACGGTGAGTTCTAGTTCCGCCTTAGGCCTGAAAGCCGGTTGGGTGACTTTGGGCCAATCACCAGGATACAGTGAGTTCTAGTCCCGCCTTAGGCCTGAAAGCCAGTTGGGTGACTTTGGTCCAATCACCAGGAGATGTGAATTCTAGTCCCGCCTTAGGCAAGAAAGCCAGCTGGGTGACTTTGGCCCAATCATTAGGAGTTGTGAATTCTAGTCCCGCCTTCGGCATGAAAGCTGGCGGGGTGATTTGGGCCCAATCGCCAGGAGGTGGCGAGTTCTAGTTCCACCTTCGGCATGTCAGCCGGGTGGGTGACTTTGGGCCCAGCCCCTCTCTCTCTCTCTCCGACCCAATTTCATGACCTTTCATCTGTTGGATGTTGACCTCCCGGTTGCAAAGCGAACCGTCGGTCCCCTCTAGGCAGTCCTCGACTTATGACAGTTGAGCCCCACTTGCCCGCCGCTAAGTGGGACCGTCGTTCAGTGAGTTTGGCTGCGTTTTTGGGCCAGCTTTCTCGCCAAGCTCCCCGATTGTGACGTCGCTTGTCACAAGGTTGCAAAAGGGGACGCTGCGACCGTCGTAAATACGAGTCGGTTGCCCAGCGCCTGAATTTTGATTCACGTGACCCCGGGACGCTGCGACCGTCGTAAATACGAGTCGGTTGCCCAGTGTCCGAATTTTGATTCACTTGACCCCGGGATGCTGTGACCGTCGTAAATACGAGTCAGTTGCCCAGCGTCTCAATTTCGATCAGCTGACTCTGGGACACTGCGACTGTCGTAAATACGAGTCGGTTGCCCAGAGTCTGATTTCGATCACGTGACACCAGGATGCTGCGACCGTCGTAAATACGAGTCAGTTGCCCAGCGCCTGAATTTTGATTCACATGACCCCGGGACGCTGCGACCGTCGTAAATACGAGTCGGTTGCTAAGCTGTGGTAACTAAATTAACTGTCGTAAGTCGAGGATGACCTGAATTCGTTGAGCAACTAATAATAATAATAATAAAGTTGGAAGGGACCTTGGAGGTCATCTAGTCCAACCCCCTGCTCAGGCAGGGAACCCTATACCATTTCGGACAAATGGCTGTCCAGTCTCTTCTTAAAACTGTTTGAGGTTACCCCGGCACGGAAAAAAAACAGGACTTATGACCAGTCCTCGCAGTTATGACCGTCTCGGCATCCCTGCGGCCGTGGGATCAATATTCAACTGCTTAGCAAACCAGCTTAGTCACCACGGTCGCACCATCCCGGCGTTAAACCCATTCGCCGCCTTCCACGCCAGCAAAGCCGTCGGGGAGAGCAGGATTTGCTTAACGACCGCCCCAGGATTCGCTTAACGACCGGGGCACACAAACACCCCCCCCAAAATAAAATTGGGCCACAACTCAATCTAGATCAGAAAAGTTCTCTTGCTCTCTCTCTCTCTCTCTCTCTCTCTCTCTCTCTCTCTCTCTCTCTCTCTCTCTCTGTTCTTCGGAGGGACGGAGAAAAGGCCTCCCTTCACCGCGTCCGAGGGGGGCACGATTCGAACTCGATGCCAGGTTTCCCATTGACCATCTGGAGGCAGGAAAGGAAGGGGGAATTTGAATTTTTTGGGGGGGGGGAAGGTAAGGGGAAAAAAATAGGATAGCTGGAGTCACCTAGCAGGTGGGTCCAGATGTTCCCTGTCTCGGTGTGGATGCGAAAGATGCTTTTGAAGCAGGCGCGGAAGGACGGCATGGGGGGCCGGTGGCCGTGGAGCAGGTAGTCGTTGTCCTTCAGCCAGTCGGGCAGGACGTCGTACGGGATGACCCGCCACCGGCCTTCCCAGACCTGCGTGACGGGGAAAAAAAAACGGGTCGTCCTCGGCTCGGCCTACCTCCTAGGGTTGGCGTCGGGGGGGGAAGGATTCTACCACACACACCCCGCCAAAGACCCCTTAAAAAGACAATGGTTCAGTAGGAGAGAAAAGAGATTGTGGAGGGGGGGGACAGGAATGTCCCCGGCGTAGGAGCCCGACTGAAAACTCAACTCATGTCGGTAAGTGAGACATTTTGTTAAGGGAGTTTTGCCCTGTTGAATGACAGGGAAAGTCTGGCGTTAGCCGTAACGTCCGCCTTTGAGGCTGACCTTTTCGGGCGAGAGAATTGGAATGGGATGGGATGGAACAGAAGAGAAGAGAAGAGAAGAGAGAAAGGAGAATAAAACAGAATAAAGAATAGAATAAAGAATAGGAGAGAAAGAATAGAATAGAATAGAATAGAATAGAATAGAATAGAAAATATAATAGAGTAGAGTAGAATATAGAGAATGGAATAGAATAGAATATAGGAATGAAGAATAGAATATAGAATATAGAATATAATAGAAGAAATAGAATGGAAGAATAGAATAGAACAGAGAAAGGAGAATAAAATAGAATAAAGAACAGGAGAGAAAGGAGAATAGAATAGAATGAAAAATACAGAATATAGAATAGAATACACATACACATATACATACATTCTCTATATACACACACACATATACACACACACATACACTATATATACCCACAGATACATATACATGCATATATATATATACACACACACATACACACACATTGTATGCACACACATATATACATACATACACGTATATATACACACATACATATATGTACATACACATATTATATACACATAGATACATATACAGATACACATATACACACACTATATATAGACAATAGATACATACACATATATACATACACATATATACAGACATATACATTATAGACACATTATATGCACACATACATATTCATACATACACTATACACATATGTACACACATATACATTATACGCACACATATATACACTATATATACACATACACAAACATATATATACACACATACATGTTAACAATTACACTAAAAATATGATCCCTGGGTATGTCCATATTTAAAACCAAACAAATAAATGTGAGCACCAGGGAGTGCTAAAAAATTTAATAAAATTTTGAGCCCTGATGATGTCAGCAGTTGCTGACGAAAGCGAGGCGTTTTATTGGTTTTATTGTAATTTTATTGACGTTTACTAAATTTTATTAAATTTTTTAGCACTCCCTGGTGCTCACATTTATTTGTTTGGTTTTAAATACACACACATATAAATATATATATACATACACAAACATACACACACACATATACACATAGATACACTATATATACACATACATGTACACACACATATATACACTATACACATACACACATACATATACTATATATACACATGCATATATATATATATACACATTATATACACAGACATACTATATAGACATACACATATATACACACATATACATATATATACAAATATACATTATACACATACACACACATTATATGCACACACATACATATATACATATACACATACATTATATATACAGAGATACATATACATAAACACACATATACAAACATATTATACACATACACACATATATACTTTATACACATATATACACATGCATATACATATACAGATGCATATATATGTAAATACACATACAGATACATATATATATATATACACATACACTATACACACGCACACGCACACACATACATCTGTACACAGACACAGACACAGACACAAACACACACACAGAGGGCAAGAGATAACCCTTTCTTCGCCACCAAGTGCCCGCCGCCGACCCTGCGGGGACCCGACCGCCTCCTGGCCCCGAAGGCAGGGAGGGGAGAGAAAACCCGGGTCCTGGGTTCCAGACAACCGCTCTCCCGCCCGGAGGGCTTACTTTATAGACGAACTCCTCCATCTTCTCCATGGCGTGGTGGGCTTGCAAAGGGAGGGTCAGCACCCTGACTTCCTCCTCCTCTTCCTCCTGCGTGACCGGGCATGGCTGGCACGGGCTCTGCGGAGAGGAAAGGGCACCGCCGCGGCGGCGTGAATCCTTGGCAACTCAGCCCGGCGAAGCTCTCTCGAACCCAGGGCTAAGACGCAAAGGGGGGCGGAAGGGCGGCGGGATTTTCCCCGGGCCAAAAAGCCAGTCACGCTGCTCGTCCTCGGCCTACGACGCTCCCTTTCGTGACCGGCCTAGGCGGTTCTGAAGTTCGGCTTGACCCCGTTTTTACCACCTTTCCTGCCGCCGTTAAGCGAGTCGCTGCGGCGGGCAAGCCTGGAAGGGCGTGATTAAGTGAATGGGGCTTCCCCCCCCTTGACTTTGCGTGTCAGAAGGTCGCACAAGGGGATCATCACGTGACCGACCGTCGTAAATACGAATCGGTGGTCACGGGCCCGAATTTAGAATTTTGTCTGAAATGATAGGGGGTTGGACTGGATGACCTTCAAGGTCCCCTCCACCTTTTCTATTATTATTGTTGTTGTTGTTATTGTTTTGAATGTGAAATCTTGCTGGCTAAGCGAGACAAGGTCGCACAAGGGGATCCCGTGACCCCCGTGAACTTTTTTCCCTTTTTGTGAGTGTGTGTGTGTGTGTGTCAGAGTCTAAAACAAAGAACTTTTTCCCCTGTGTGTGTGTGTGTGTGTGTGTCAAAGTCTAAAACAAAGAACTTCCCCCCCTTGTGTGTGTGTGTTTGTGTGTAAGTCTAAAACAAAGAACTTCCCCCCCTTTTTGTTTGTGTGTCAGTCTAAAACAAAGAACTTTTTTCTTTTGTGTGTGTGTGTCAAAATCTAAAACAAAGAACTTTCCCCCCCTTTGTGTGTGTGTGTGTGTGTGTCAAAGTCTAAAACAAAGAACTCTTTCCCCCTTTTTGTGTATGTGCGCTTGTGTATCTCTAAAACAAATAACTTTTTTCCCTCTGTGTGTGTGTGTGTGTCAAAGTCTAAAACAAAGAACATTCCCCTCTTTTTGTGTGTGTGTGTCAAAGTCTAAAACAAAGAATTTTTCCCTTTTTTTGTGTGTGTGCATCAAAGTCTAAACCAAAGAACTTTCCCCCCCTTTTTGTGTGTGCGTGTGTAACTCAAAAACAAATAACTTTTTTCACTGTGTGTGTGTGTGTGTGTCAAAGTCGAAAACAGCCTGCCTCCAGAAGCAGTAAATGCTCCAACACTGGAAGTTTTTAAGAAGAGACTGGACAGTCATTTGTCCAAAATGGTGTAGGGTTTCCTGCCTGAGCAGGGGGTTGAACTAGATGACCTCCAATGTCCCTTCCAACTTTACTACTATTACTAACTTCCCCCCTTTTTGTGTTTGTGTGAGTCAAAGTCTAAAACAGTGGTTCTCCACCTGTGGGTCGGGACCCCATTTGGGGTCGAACGACCATTTCACGGGGGTCGCCAAACAACGCAGTCCGCCATTTTTCCCCCCCCCCTTTTCCTTTTATTCTGTTGGCTTTTGAAAGCCAATAGAAGAGACTCTCTTGAATAGAGTCTCATTCTATTGGCTTTCCAAAGCCAATAGGAATTGTCCAGGCTGTCTCTGCCCTGCTGAGCCCGCCAAAAGTCCCATTCTGCAAATGGTGCTGCACCAGTTGAGTAGTCCTCGACTTACGACCGGTTGAGTAGTCCTCGACTTACGACCAGTTGGGGGTCGCAGCATTAAAAAGGTTGAGAACCACTGGTCTAAAACGAAGAACTTTCCCCCCCTTTGTGTGTGTGTGTGTGTGTAAAACTCTAAAACAAATAACTTTTTTCCCTGTGTGTGTGTGTGAAAGTCTAAAACAAAGAACTTTTTTCCCCTTTGTGTGTGTGTGTGTGTGTGTGTCAAAGTCTAAAACAAAGAACTTCCCTCCTTTGTGTGTGTGTGTTTGTGTGTAAGTCTAAAACAAGGAACTTGTTCCCTTTTTTGTGAGTGTGTGTGTGTGTCAAAGTCTACAACAAAGAACTTCCCCCCCTCATCCCCTCTCTCTCTTTCTCTCTCTCTCTCTCTCTCTCTGTGTGTGTGTCAAAGTCTAAAACAAAGAACTACCCCCCCTTTTTGTGTTTATGTGAGTCAAAGTCTAAAACAAAGAACTTTTTTCCCCTTTGTGTGTGTGTGTGTGTCAAAGTCTAAAACAAAGAACATCCCTCCTTTGTGTGTGTGTGTAAGTCTAAAACAAGGAACTTGTTCCCTTTTTTGTGAGTGTGTGTGTGTGTCAAAGTCTACAACAAAGAACTTCCCCCTTCTCTCATCCCCTCTCTCTCCCTTTCTGTGTGTGTGTGTGTATGTGTGTGTGTCTGTGTGTGTTTTCAGGGCACGAAAAGAACTTTTTAACATGCCAGCCGAGAGACTCACAAAACAAGCCAAGAACGGAGGCCAAAATCCCTGGATTGGCACTGGAAGATTGCCGGATTTCATTTCGATTTTTCAAGAGTCTGGCAATTTTGGGCTTGCTCAGAAATGCTAAGAAAAAAATATGTTTTGTTTTGTTCTGGTTTTTTTGTAAAAAAGGGTCTGAATTGCAAAGAGCGGATGAGAAACGCACAAATCAAATGTCGCAGAAATGTCCTGCTTGTAAACTTCAGTTAAATATTTAGGGCCAGCTCTCCAAATGAGTAACAGAGGGTGATTTTGCAAAAAAACAAAAACCAAAAAAAAAGACAGCCCCCCCCTCTCTCAACTCTTTCTCTCTCTCATCTCTTTATCTCTATCAAACATCTCTGTCTCTCTTTCTTTCTCTCTCTCTCTCTCTCCATCCATCCATCCATTTATTACCTATCATCTCTCTATCAACTATCTACCTACCCACCTACCTATCTATCTAATCTATTTTATATCTATGATCTCTCTACATTCATCTGTCTATCTCTCTCTCTCCATCTATTGTCTATCATCTATCATCATCTATCAACTCTCTCTCCATCTTTCAATTTATGTATTAGCTATTATCTCTATCTATCCATCCATCCATCCATCTATTGTCTATCATCTCTCCATCATCAATCAACTCTCTATCAATCAATCAATCAATCAATCGATCTACCTATCTATCTATCTATCTATCCATCCTTCCATCCATCCACTCAATCTATCTATCTATCTATCTATCTATCTATCTATCTATCTATCTATCTATCTATCTATCTATCTCTATCCATCCATCCATCCAAGCTCTATCTATTCATCCATCCATCCACTCAAGCTATCTTTCTATATCTATCTATCTCTATCCATCCATCCATCCATCCATCCATCCACTCAAGCTATCTATCTATCTATCTATCTATCTATCTATCTATCTATCTATCTCTATCCATCCACTCAAGCTATCTTTCTATATCTATCTATCCATCTATCTACCCATCCATCCATCCACTCAAGCTACCTACCCATCCATCCTTCCATCCTATCTATCTATCTATCTATCTATCTATCTATCTATCTATCTATCTATCTATCTATCTCTATCCATCCATCCATCCATCCAAGCTCTATCTATCCATCCATCCACTCAAGCTATCTTTCTATCTCTATCTATCTATCTATCTATCTATCTATCTATTGTCTATCATTTCTCTATCGTTTATCATCTATCTATCTATCTATCTATCTATCTATCTATCTATCTATCTATCTATCTATCTCTATCCATACATCCATCCACTCAAGCTATCTATCTATCTATCTATCTATCTATCTATCTATCTATCTATCTATCTCTATCCATCCATCCATCCATCCATCCATCCAAGTTCTATCCATCCATCCATCCATCCATCCATCCATCCATCCAAGCTCTATCCATCCATCCATCCATCCACTCAAGCTCTTTCTATATCTATCTATCTACCCATCCATCCTTTCATCTTATCTATCTATCTATCTATCTATCTATCTATCTATCTATCTATCTATATCCATCCATCCATCCAAGCTATCTATCTATCCATCCATCCATCCACTCAAACTATCTTTCTATCACTATCTCTATCTATCATCTATCTATGTACCCATCCATCCATCCATCCAGCCATCTATTGTCTATCATTTCTCTATCATCGTCTATCTACCTATCTACCTATATATCTATCCATCCATCCATCCATCCATCCACTCAAGCTATCTATCTCCTACCTATCTATCCATCCATCCATCCATCCATCCATACATCCATCCATCCATCCATCCATCCATCCATCCATCCATCCATCCATCCAGACTTACGTTGGCCGAACGAGACGTTCCCGGATCCGCTTTCTCCTCTAAAAGGGGTCCGAGCTCAGCCAGTTCCACGTCTTCCCGGTCTCGGCCGTTGCCGGCGGGAGCGCTTCCGGGACTGCTGGCCGATCCTTTGCAGGAAGCCATCTGGCCCGCATGCAGGCCGGCGCGGATGCGAAAGCTGCGGAGCACCGGGCCCTCTGCGACACCCCGATTCTCCCTACGAACCAAAACCAATAATAATAATAAAAAAAAATTATTTTCAAAACCAGCCTTGCTTCGGACGCCCCTCTCATCTCAACAGCTTGGCTGTTGTTGTTTTTATTTATTTAATTTGGGGGGGGGGAAATGAAAAAATAAAATAAAATACAGGTAGGTCCAAGCAGGGGGTTGGACTAGATGACCTCCAAGGCCCCTTCCAACTCTGTCGTTCTAGGATTCTGTCAGGGTCTCTCCCGCTTGCGCAGGGGGTTGGACTAGATCACACACACTCAAACACACCACAAACCTATATATTTTGTGCCTCACGGGTCCAATGCTGTATAAAAGGAGTCGGTTGTGGCGTTTTGTGACAACTCAACATTTCCCCACCAAAGGAAGGGAACTCACCACATCGGTTCCGGAAAGCCGTGACTTGCAGCTTGGCAGTTTGGGAAAAACAACCACCCAAAAAAAGCCGCTACTGAATAGGGAAGTTGAATTTCACAGAACGGCCTTGAGTTGGGAGGGACCTCCGAGGTCATCCAGTCCAACCCCCTGCTCAGGCAGGAGACCCTGACAGAAGGACACAGTGGGAAGGGACCTGGGAGGTCATCCAGTCCAACCCCCTTGCTCAAGCAGGAGACCCTGACAGAAGGACACAGTGGGAAGGGACCTGGGAGGTCATCCAGTCCATCCCCCTTGCTCAAGCAGGAGACCCTGACAGAAGGACACAGTGGGAAGGGACCTGGGAGGTCATCCAGTCCATCCCCCTTGCTCAAGCAGGAGACCCTGACAGAAGGACACAGTGGGAAGGGACCTGGGAGGTCATCCAGTCCATCCCCCTTGCTCAAGCAGGAGACCCTGACAGAAGGACACAGTGGGAAGGGACCTGGGAGGTCATCCAGTCCATCCCCCTTGCTCAAGCAGGAGACCCTGACAGAAGGACACAGTGGGAAGGGACCTGGGAGGTCATCCAGTCCATCCCCCTTGCTCAAGCAGGAGACCCTGACAGAAGGACACAGTGGGAAGGGCCTGGGAGGTCATCCAGTGCTCAAGGAGACCCTGGAAGGCACAGTGGGAAGGACCTGGGAGGTCATCCAGTCCATCCCCCTTGCTCAAGCAGGAGACCCTGACAGAAGGACACAGTGGGAAGGACCTGGGAGGTCAGTCCAGCTCCAGAGACCCTGACAGAAGGAGGCACCCTGACAGAAGGACACAGTGGGAAGGGACCTGGGAAGTCATCCAGTCCAACCCCCTTGCTCAAGCAGGAGACCCTGACAGAAGGACACAGTGGGAAGGGACCTGGGAGGTCATCCAGTCCATCCCCCTTGCTCAAGCAGGAGACCCTGACAGAAGGACACAGTGGGAAGGGACCTGGGAGGTCATCCAGTCCATCCCCCTTGCTCAAGCAGGAGACCCTGACAGAAGGACACAGTGGGAAGGGACCTGGGAGGTCATCCAGTCCATCCCTCTTGCTCAAGCAGGAGACCCTGACAGAAGGACACAGTGGGAAGGGACCTGGGAGGTCATCCAGTCCATCCCCCTTGCTCAAGCAGGAGACCCTGACAGAAGGACACAGTGGGAAGGGACCTGGGAGGTCATCCAGTCCATCCCTCTTGCTCAAGCAGGAGACCCTGACAGAAGGACACAGTGGGAAGGGACCTGGGAGGTCATCCAGTCCAACCCCCTTGCTCAAGCAGGAGACCCTGACAGAAGGACACA